TATCCGGAAAGAAATTCTGAATCAAATAACCCGCAAGATTATAATGAGCATAAACAAGAACGATACAATAGTGATCATAATAACCTAGATCACTTGAAACACTACCACGACGTGATTCTCATGGATTCTAGACAATTGCTGGCCTTGGCCTCACGATTAGCTTCACCCGGAAACGACCGGAAGCAAGATACCGACCCAGCTACTAGTAAACCTCGATCGGCTGATCGATATTTTCATCGCGGGAATTTTAACGAGTCACCCGATCCTCGGTCTGAACATTATTTTATGAACGGTAACTCTCAGGATATGAAAGATGATGAGGATAAAAAATTTGCCCAGAATATTAAATACCCTTTTAGCAGTTATTATGATGATGCGCGTTCCCTTCGCCCCAAGAGGCGTCGGGCAGCAACGAGGTTTAGTTCGGCATTCATTATGCCTTATCGACGTCGTTTCGCCCCCGCTTGTCCAACAGGGCAGTTTCCTTGTCCCGGTAACGGCAGATGCGTTCCCTGGGAATACAGATGCGACAGAGTTGTGCATTGCGAAGATTATTCCGATGAGTTAGGGTGCTGTAAGGAACATAGCATATATAAATTTTATTTAAATGTTGTTTGTGAATTCTTGCTTTTTTAAAATAAATCTCCTTTGAGGGGAGGGGGGGGGATCACCTTTCAAACAAATTTTAATTATACTCACATTTTTTTAATACCATATTTATAGTAATATGATGTAATGAAAGAAATAAGAAATTTTATTTATTTTTTGGTTAGATTTAGAATTGGTTAGATCCTTTTGGTTGAGTTGAATAAATTTTTCTTGTTGAGCCGCAGTACATAACTTATTTTGAAATGCAACTATTTATTTCATTTGCACATTAAATTAACCATATGAAAAATCGTGAGTGCAAGTACTTGTATCCCCCCCCCCCTTTCACCCCTCCTTTTCCAACACGAATGAAGATATTATCTCTTATTAGAGGTGGCGCAGCGTTTTTTTGCCTGACCCATGAAATTATATAAAAGTATAATATTTTTGAAAAAAAGGACAAATTTTGCCTATTTCCAAGCTCATAAAAAAAATCCTTGCTTGTCTGACCCATGAAATTATATAAAAGTATAATATTTTTTGAAAGAAAAGGACAAATTTTGCCTATTTTCAAGTTCATAAAAAAATCCTTGCAGCCTGCTACAGTCCAAGCGCTGACCTCTAACTCCTGCCCCCCCCCCTTCATTAGCAAAAAAAAGAAAATTAAATCAAGGTTAGCAATAAAAAATTATTACCCCCCCCCCTCCCCCGCTTACCTTACATCCTACTCCCTTCCCCTTTTATTCTATTACCAATAGTGTCTCACAATTCTCTAAAAATATTTTAATAACGATCTTGTGCCATTAAATTGAAAAGATCTTTTAAAAAAATTAACTTCCTTATATTCTTTATGGTCAAAACGTTAATTTAATTTTTAAAAAAATCCTCGTATAGGCTCTAGTTTATGTTTGATTCATTATTCATTTAATATCGATTAACCAATTTATGGTAATGGTCTGAAGACACTTTTAACAACTTTACCAGCCTTTTAAAATATTATACAATGAAACCTCTAAAGGTGATCACCTCAATATCTTGCCCAATTTAGTTAGATCCCCTCCCCATCAAAATCTTAATAAATTGACTTATGAAAATATTGTATATATTTACCAATTATATATGTTGACCAATACGTAACCACCATTCAATGGTCACCTTTATGGAATCACTATATTATAATACTACATTAACATTATTAAACATTATATTCCTATATATTTATTTTATATAATATCAATGATTTGGATATTTTGTTTTCTATATTATTTATACCCCCCCCCCCTCCCCATTTTTTGAAAAATTAGCATTTTTATTGAATATTTATGGGGAGAAGTAAAAAAAATAGATACAAATTTTGTCACATTTAAATATTAAAAAAAATCTTATTTTCCGTTGATGATGTTATCGAAATTAATTAAACCACAATCATTTTTTCGTGTTCACTTACTATAGTTTATTATAGTGATCTGCTTCGGACTTAATTTTTATAGCCCAGCCTGAAATTTTTTAAAAAAATTTTGCCGGGCCGAACCCGAAATTTTTTTTTTTAAAAATTTATCGCCCGGCCTTAATTTATTTAAATATAGAAATTAATTTTATAATTACTCAAAATAAAAGATATATGTTATATGGTGTCTAGTTTCTATAAATAAAATCAAATATTTTTATTTTACATAAAAAATTCAAAATATAATTGATAAATTTAAATATATTTTAAAAAAATTACAAGACCCGACCCGGCTCGAATTTTTAAAAAAATATTGTCCCCACTTAGCCCGAACCCAATTTTTTTTAAAAAATAGAGCCGGTCCGGAAAAAATCAAAATGTTTTATAAAAAAAAAATTCAAATGTTCACCTGATCCAGAAAAATGTCGTTGGGAAAAGGAAATCCAATTTTTTTTTTTGAGAAGAGGAGAAAATAAAATTGACCAATAAAAAAAATGGGGATAATTGGGCTTACTTTTGTAGATCTTTAGTTTATTATAAAAAAAAATTGTCAAATATGGGTTGATTTTATTATTTTATATTTTTTTAAAATGTAAATGCAGCTTTTCTAATGTTTTTGAGGGGTAAACGGGAACTTTGGAACTTTTATAGAAATAATTATTTTTCTTTATTACCCTTGATATAGAACCCCCATCCACCCCCTTTACTGATATATATCGTAACATAATGCGATCGTGGAAATTTTCTAAAAATTGTCCTGATTGGGGGCAATATTAATTATTAAACCAGATTGTTTGGTGCCTTTTTAGAAAAAATCGCTATCTTATAAAATTGATCGAAACGTAAATTTTGGGTTAAAAATCCTATAGTAATTTTTTGATTTCATTGAGAATTGAATTCAAGTATTTTACGTATACAATTGTTGCCATTACATTTTTTGTCATTTAATCTAAGAGTGAGAGACCGAGGACATGCATCAATAGTATTGTCTCCAACTTTGGAGGTGCCTGAAAATTAATCAAGTGTTTTTAAGGCAATTCTCTCGAATATCTCATTTGAAGCAAAGGATTCAAAATTAAAATTCGCAGAGGGAGTTTCGTTTGTTGCAAATATTAAATTAACGGAGACGTTAAGGGCAAAACAATGATTAAGGAGAGAAAAAAGAGCTTACGAAGATATCATAGAAAGTAAGAGAATCTGATATATGTTTTTGATTTGAAATAAGGAAGATAAAGTATCATAAAAGAAGTTATTGGCATATTATAACCCGCCACCTAACAAAGATGGGTTAGGGACGAGTTTTCGGTTGATTGAGGATTATGGATAAATGGGATATAGCAGTTTATTTGGTAAATCTCAGTTTCTGCTCAACAAATGAAAGTCCTATTATTTGGGAGTGAGTTTTTATTTTAATTTCTTTCAGATCTCGTTAGGGGGGGGGGTGCAGGTGCAGAGTAATCGAAATCAGTGGATCGTCTTGTTGGATCCCTTCTGATGATGAAAGCTGATATTAATTAAATTGAAGATTAAATAATAAGAATGGCAGAAGTGAAGAATTGAAAAATAATATAATGCGAAACGAATAGCAATTTAAAAAAAAGTTCATTTAGCGAAGATTTCATCACTAGGGTAGTAACATAGTAGTTATTTCGTAACCTCCATTGATTGCGATACCCAGTTGATGGGATGCTAAATTGGTGACTATCAGACTTAAATTTTTGAAGATGCAAGTTTCGAAACCAGACGTAGAAATACGATCCCGATCCAAATATATGATGTGCCCTGGAGTGATAATAAACAATTTATCCCAACTTGGTCTATAATTGTATTTACCTGGGATAAAATGACTATTCGAATATATAATAATGTGATTTGCGTCAGTGCGCATTTCTCTCCGGCAATGTGCTATTATCTTTTTAAAAATTTATATGGTCGGGCGGGTTAAAAATCTTAAACATTGGGCGGGTGGAAGAGTTAAAAAATATTTTCAAAACAATGGGCTGGTGAATTTAAAATTATTTTTGAGTAGGACTGGTGAATTTAAAATTATTTTTGAGTAGGACTGGTGAATTTAAGAAAATAATAGGCGGTAGGCGAACGCTTTAAACAATGAAAAGGCAGGTGCATTTAGTCTAAACCTCTGACCCATATCTAGCATTCTTAATTAACAATTATTTTATGTGTTCATTCAATTTTAAAAAAGATATTTAAATTATTGAAAATAATTTTCGAAAATCAATTACTAATTTATAAAATAATCTAAAGTTAAACAATAATTTTCTTTCTATATTATACTAATTCACTAACGTAGTTGTATTAGTCTCACAAACATCTTTACTCTGAGTTGCATAAGAATTTTTTTAAAAGAAACAAATTCTAATAAGAATTGTGATTGCTTATGTAAAAGCTGGTCCAACGTTTCCAGGAATTTAAATATTTCCGAGAACGAAATTCAATTTTTTTGGATTATTCATATATTGGTTATATCATTATAAAAAAACAAAATGCATTAGACTTACAAAAGACAATATTTTGATTTTCCTCAAGTTATTTTATTACAGTTTATTTGACCTCATTTCAAAATTGCATACATTAAAATTCTTTTTTTGTTTGATTTAGTATTAGGAGCCAAATATGACTCATTTGTTAAAAACGATTTCGCATTTTTTTTGTTTTTGGCTGGTTGGTGGGGCTAATTTTTCTATAATTCTCTAAAATAAAAAAAACGTTCTACAGGAGGGCCAGATGTAAGTGAGGAAACATTATATTTAATAAAAGGTCATTTTAAATGGGAAACAATTATATTTTCAAAATAATTCGTTGCATTTGCCTTTATATTTCACAAGTAGCTAGTTGCAATTATTTTTTTGCAAATATGTAACTACTTACTTTAACAACACTGTGTTTGGTTGCCAATCATAATATCGAGTTAATTTTAATTGATTTCATAAAAAATGTAATAAAGCCCACCCCGTGATATGCCGTGAAAGCGAATTCAAATGTGACAATGGTCAATGCATACATGACTCTCTTAAATGCAACCAAGTCTATGATTGTTTGGATACATCTGATGAAAGGGATTGTTCTCCCATGCCTAGTTATTATATTTTTATTTATTTTTAATTACTTTCTAAATTTATATCTACACCTATACTTCACATGCAGGCCAGTTTTAGGTCATTTTATTTAATTTTTTCTTAAACATAATTAGACAAGTTTGAAGATTAGGTGTATTCAACCTATAGGGTACGACCCGAATAGTGGGGTTAGGGTTCGAGTGGGCATAGTAATCCATTTTTATATTTTTATGCGTTGTCCTTTTTTCTTCTATTTAAATTAAACTGCGAAGTAGTACAGATTTGTTTATTGTAATATTTTTTTAGATTAAAGAATAATAATTCCCATATATATATTTTAATCATTGAAGCCGCTACTTGTGTAATTTTCATTAGTTCATTTCTGATTTTTCCTAGCGGAAAAAAGGCACTTAAGCTGTGTCCTAACTCTATTTAGATTTTTCTGAAATCTATTCAGAAAAGAAGCCTTTACACTATTTACTAGTTCTTTCTTAAATATAGATTTTGACATAAAGTAATGATATTTTTTAAATACTGTAAAGCAACACTTATTCCTAATTTCTAAATCTAATAATTACTATTCAGCCTGCTGTTTAGAATTTTAAAAAAAGAAACTAGACAGGATAGAATGCAGCCTTACAGCTTATTCATCCATAATATAATATGTTTCTAGTTCAAAAATGCTAAATTATTTAGTTCTGCTGCATACTTCTAATTGTTTGAAAATCTCGGCCTCATTGAGATTTCCAAACATTTATCTAATAGCTTAGGCTAAGGACACACTATGTGTTCAGCAGATAAAAGAATTGCACCATATTTTATATATGAATAAAGTATTTATCTGATCCTCCATTCTTCTCTATTTTGAGTTAATCAGCTAAGCTGGTGTTTTTTTTAGTTTACTGTATATAGATGTAGTTGTTTAATTTGAGGTGTATTTTTTTTTAAATCACATAGTTTTTTTTCAATTTCATAGTGTCTTAAATCCTAAAAGGAGCATTATTTATTCGCTTTTTTAAAAATTATATTTAGAAAAATAATGGAATTTAAAATTTTGATAAAGCCACTACTACAATAACGTCTTTGTCCTCCATCTGGACATCGCCTTCGACATCTTTTTCCTTGTCAACGCGTCGATCCTTCGCATGCCCTCGGCTTGGGGAAGGCGGTCCTATTTTTAAATGCTCGTCACGGCTAAACGAGTGCATTGAAGCACGGCGGCAATGCGATTCCCATTACGATTGCTCGGATAGATCTGACGAAATCGAATGCCCTACGCCATCCGTGACTGCTACTCTTATTAAAGGTGACTTAATTGTAAAGGATTATTCATTTTATTTTTCTATATTTATTTATAACCGTACATTTCTTTCTTATAAAAAATATAATAATTCATTTATGATGCATACACGTCAAGATTGCACCGCAAATGAATTTCAATGTTCAGATGGAAAATGCATTGATATTAGACTGAAATGCAATTCTATGGTTGATTGCACCGATGCATCCGATGAAAGAGAATGCAGTATTTTTATTTATTTTTCCGGATAGGGGACACCGGGGCATTCCCGCAAGGGGCAATATTGCAATTATGGTTAATTTTTAGTAGAATAATGCCATATTATAAATCTATAAAAGAAATTTTATAATTGATTTATGGGTAATGTCATGTATATATATTGATAAATTTCTTATAAAATGTATTTTACCCTTCGCCCTTCGCCCAAAACACAAAAATATTGATAAATTTTTTATAAAATGTATTTTACCCTACGCCCAAAACACAAAAAATTTAATTGGAAAACTTTATAACACGTGATAAGCTTCTTTTTTTTAAAAAAAAATATAGAATGAGGCCAAAACATTTTTTTAAAATTTTGAAAGATTTTCAACCTTTAGTCTATCCTAAAATACAAAATCATAATTAAATGTTAATTTAAGTTATAAAGATAGGAAAGGAAAATTAAAAATATCAATTGAAAAATTTTAAAAGTTAATAATAATTATTTTAAAAAGTATCTGAATCGGTATCTTAATGAAGACGATACCTTAGATACAGATATAAGTATTTTATTAAAAATAAAAAGAATCCTCCATTTTAGTTAAAAGTATTCACGGTATTATCCAGCTCTCCATGCGTATTCGCCGTATGTCCAACTCTGCATGCCATTATAATAAATACTGTAATATCTATTAGTTAAATTGTTTTTATTCTATATTCAACTTAGTTTTATATATTATTTGATTTAAACTAAGTTATTATAACAAATGTAATTAACACCTTTAAATTAATAACTTTAAATTAAGTGATATAATTATTAGCTAAAAAAATCACTTATTACATTTATCAATTCTTATTTAAATCCTAACATCCTGGTTTATTAATACAATCCACCCATTAATTAGCGCAGCCACTGTTCTAGTTCTTTTATTTTAATTTTTATAATATTCATTTTTATTTATTTTAAAAAAATATATTAAGAATAGCATATAAGTAAACTACTTTACAAAATAACATATTGTAAAAACTATATTGAAATTATATTTAAAAATCATATAAGGAAACTTTTTGTGTTATTTGTAAAATTTTAAAAGAGGATACACCCACGACCATTGAGATTTTTTAACTTAAAATCTAAACATCTGTTCGTAGAAATAAATATTGGGGTATAAATGAAAATCTGAAAAATCGTCATACTTTCTTATATTTGATTTTTTTTAGCTGTTATAATCTAGTCAATATTTGGGTCAAAGGATAATTGGGAGATACATGTGAAATTCCAAATAAGATATTTTTCTTAAATCAATTATGTTTGGGTATATTGCATTTTCGATGTAATGTGTTTTCAAAAATTGAGAACTTATATTGGGATCTTAAATTCGTAAATTTACCGCATGGCTTTGTAACATTAACCCGGGTATGGGATAAAATTAAATTAATTTTTTTGAATTTTTATAATAACTACTCCCACATCATCTAAGGTAAGATTGTAACTTATATATTTTGTAGATTAATGTTGGGGTTATGAATGGTGGATACAATTAGATTAATTCTATACTTTCAAATGATGAACCGTCAGAACACATGCGGGAATGCTCTAATCTTCCCTTTTTTAATAACAATTCATAATGAATGTTGAAATTAATAAACATAAATTTATTTAATTTTTTGTAATTTTACTATGAATCGTTTCTTTAATTCCATATTTATAATTCAAACTTTAACAATTTTTAACAATTCACAATTAATTATATTGATTTTTAATAAAAATTTATATAGGCATCTCAAGCGAGAGTCCAGTTACCACGATTAGAGTTTCAAAGAAGGTAGACGTTTCTAACGTATTTGATACTTGGAGCACTAGAAGAACAGAAACGACTGAGGCCTCAAGTCCTACAAAATACGTCACTACCCTTAACACGCTTTTATACTCTACTAACTCTCCCACCACGTTCTCGCAGGCTACCAATAGACGGGGCAATAGTAAATATTATATTTTAGCACCTGTTTTAAAAAATACATAGCATGATGTGATATGACATATAAATTGTGTTTTTTTATGCCTAAGTTTGGCTTGTGTTAAACTGTACCTTGGGTATACCGTTTAAAGAATTCGTAATTTACATTCAACATTAATTTAATCTTAAAGTTTCTTAATATATATTTTTCAAAGTTAATTTAATTAATAGTGACGGACCGGTGTTTTTTCTGAACCATGGTCCAGATCGGTCTTTTAATTCTTTCCGGCTCAGACCGTCCTCCGGATCTATCTTTTATTAATATTCCACCTGTCATATTATTTAGAATCATAGTCTGGACCTGTATTTTTTTTGAGGACCGTGATTCAGTTCCGATTTTCACTATTTATTAATAAGAATAACTATTTTTTTTAAAAAAAAAATCGAACCATGTTTATTATTTGAAATTAAAACTAAAATTAAAAATTTTCTTTCGACAAGTCTCTAAATATAAATTTTAAAGGTTTATATTATATAATATATTATATGTTTAAAATACAAAACTGATCTAGGCGATGAAGATCGGAATAAAGATTACCGGGACAGAATGATCAAGTACCAACAAGAAAAAATGATGCACGAACAGCGCAAACAGAGTTACTACAAGGACATGTTGACAGGATCCAGTTGGGCGGATTTTACCACCTTAGCCCGCACCACATTACCCGATGTGAAATCTTCTTTAACTACATTGACAACGACTGCCAGAATTTCGACTATCGACAGTTATGATCTAAGCCGCCAATTACAAAGGAATAAAGCCATCGAGTCTTTAGGAAGATCCTATCAGGCCACTGTGCAGACTAGTAATGAAAATTAGGATCGTATTTTATTATTGCAAAATTTAAAGATTATCCTATATTTAAATTTCAAAAAATAAATGTATCATAATATTCAGGACTAGCTCCTTCACCTAAGGTCACATCGCCAATCGACGTAATTATAAGACCAACTACATTAATCGTCAATGAACATGGTTCCTCAATGTTTGAAGTAATAAGCGTCTTTTACTTTATTTATATGTCGTATTGGGATATGGAATTTATTGGAATTCAGGATCTTTCAAAAATAATTTTGTTAAGCGCCGATTTTTAAATTTAAAAAAAATCTGATTTGACCGGAAATGCATTTCAGCATGTGTAAAGTACCTAACCTTAGAATTTTACATATTTTTCGTCATAAACATTTCTTTATTTTTTAATTTATTTTAAAATTCAAACAAATATAAATTAAGAGTAGTTCTAAAGTTCGAGGTAAAATTGTTTGAAATTTACAGTGGTACTCTATATAAACTAAAATATATTTTCGGTCAAATCAGATTTTTAAAATTTAGAAATCGCTCTCAGTGAATGATTTAAAGTTTATCCCAAAAAGACATATGCATGGATAATATTATATGATACAAAATATTTGAGACAATTTACATATTATATGAATTCCATGTCAAATGAGCAAGAACTGATATTTTTGCCGGCCCTTTTCAATTTTGATGAAAATTTGTATTCACGTTATATATGTTCTAGTAATATCTGAATCGAAATTTTAGCTCATTAGTAATTACATTACCTGAGATAATGTGGATTAAAGGTAAGAAAAACGACTTTTTGAAACTGATTGTTTAATAACTAGTTTTCAATAAAAAGTTAAATTAGTTTGAATACTGAATTTAATATTTAACAACTAAGTTATTTATGAGGAAAACATCAAAATTAAATTTTTTTAAATATTGGTCATCTTATGCCCATTTGAAAATTTAAAATTAATATTTCGAATAATTTATGCGCTTCAATTATATTTTTATCTATTATTCTTTTAATATTATTCTAATAATTTCTTCAATAATTAGCAAGGCTGGATAATTATTTAAAAATTAAAATATGCCAATTAATGTATAAAAAATGTATAGATTGCTCTATATATGAATATTTTAATGCAATAAAAGCCATTGACTATCATTTTAACACATTATAATATATTTACGAGTAATATTATGCTTATTGAAAAAAAAATTGAAGCTCATAATGTAGTAATGTGGAAATTACATTTAAAATTTCATGATATATTATTTATATATTATGAATGAGTATATTTGTTTCGTAAATTTTTTACTGGACATAAGATGACCAATATTTAAAAAATTTAATTTTGATGTCACCCTCTTAATTACCAATTACTGACCTAGTTATTATATTAATAATGATTAATATCCTACATAAAATGGATGACCATTTTTTAAAAAAATTTAATTTTGATGTTTTCCCCTTAATTATCAATTATTGACAGTTATTAATATTAGATTCATATTCAAACTAATATTGTTTTTTATTTTAAAACTAGTTATTTAACATCAGTAAAAGGTTAAAAGCGCCGATATTTATACCTTTAATTGCCATTATCTCAGGCAATATAACTGCTACTGAGGTAAAATTTTGTTTCAGATATTACCAAACATATATAACGCGCCTATTTTATCAAAATGGAAACGGGTTGGCCGAAAGGTGTTCGTTTATATATAGGAATGGCAACAACAATTACTTGTATTCGAAATCAGAGGCGGCGACTTAATATAATGTCTATGAGGGTACAGAGGCTAAAATTATTTATTCAATTTGAAAAAAATAGCAAAAACAGCCTGTAATTTTAATTTTGTATAAAAGATTTTGAATGATATAGTATAAAAAATGTTAATTTTAGGCAAAGTTTCTTCTTATTTCATTTTTATTTATAAAAATATTTATTAAATTACATTTGAATCAAGTTCTTTTTAATAGTTAAAATTGCGATATGATTAATCTTTGCCATATTATCGTAGAAAGTTAATTAGATTAGACATGTTAGTCCAGAAAATTATCGTTCAGGAGAGCAAGCACTTTCGAGTTTGTTAACAGCATTTTAATAAATTTTACACTGGAAAAATTGTAATAATTTCTTTTTTACTTCGTTCTTCTAGCATGGTTATGACCTCCTCTAAAGAATTGTATGATCTAAGACTTCATAATATTTGTCTATAATATTCAATAACTGGCCCGAAATGATGGTATGATAAATTCGAGCCAGCTTCGAGTTTTAAAAGCCTTTTTCTCTGGTTCTTTAAAATGGGCTCCTCTAAATTTAATTCCTTTGGCATTAAATTAACTTATCTCCAAAACTTATCGAAGCTATCATCTTGTCGTATTGCATCAGGAATTTTGATCAAGATTTTTATTTTCTATTTAACATTTTGAAAATATAATGAAAAACTTTGGATTTCAGCATTTAAAACTTCTACAATTTAAAATATTGATATCGTTATTTTAAGAAATAAAAAGTTTTCAAAAAAGACTTGAAATCAAGCCTATGTAGGAAATATATTTACTCAATATTATGAGTTCTCATTTATTATTCATATTCGGACGAATCCAACAATCTGCTCTTGTATTTAAGCGAATATTTAATTGTGGTATTCTTCGTAATCGAATAATTTATTATATTTATATTTGCTATTAATAATTCTATGTTCAAAAAAGTGTAATGCAGTGTGAGGCATAACGTTCTTAATGTGCTCTTTGAGAATCTTACAATTTTTACCAATCATGTTTGTGGCAAAAAAAAGTTCCTGCTATTTATAAATATTTTGTTAATTTAAAATTTCAATCTAATTTCAATGTCAAACAGAGGAAAATAAATCTGTAAGAAATGAAGTCATCAATTACTTAGAAAAATTATAACATTTGACTGATAATAATGAAAATAAAATGGTCTAATCAATCATTCTAAATCGATTTATATTCTAGAAAATGATATGCTATAATCAGTAGATTCGTTAGATTTTATTTAGGACTTAAATTAAATTAAATATTTTATATTCCCTTTTACGCACATAAATTCACAAATAAACTTAACGCATCTCATTTTTTATCAATAAAGGTATATGTGAGACGGAGGGATCAGCAGATAGTAGCGGAAGAAATTGAGTGGAGTCGCACAGACGGTCGTGCCCTTCCTCCCGACCGGGTATACGCTGTTCACGGTGGAAGGCGGCTCGTGGTAGGTCGCGTCAGGTTGGACGACGCGGGATCTTATCTTTGTCGTGTATCTGCTATTTATGGCCGAGATCGCATAAGTGGAATCACATCCAAACCACACGTGGTTGAACAACATGTCATAATACGTGTCGAGAAAAGTTAACTGAATTTTTGTTTTTATAAATTTTTTCTACTTATTTTGTTAGTTATACTTATATATCTTAAAGAAAGAAAGAAAGAAAGAAAGAAAGAAAGAAAGAAAGAAAGAAAGAAAGAAAGAAAGAAGAAAAGAAAAGAAAAGAAAATATTAGATTACCATCCTGATTCCATTTTTATAATTTTAACAATATATTCAATCCAGATTTTAACTTAATACGCTCCACTCAACCTTCTCTACCAACACCGGCTACGAGAATGAGAGATATTGACCATCCCAGGCTCTCACAAATACAGACACCTGTTCATAACGTATTCTATCGCTTGAGAGTAGAGCCAGCTCACTCAACAGCAGCAGAAGTTAGTATCTTTTTTAGGGGTATTTATTTTTGGTTTGTCGTAAGCGGTAACAATCGAGTGGAACCTTTAATTTTTTTTCAGAATTTAACAAAATAAAATTTTATCAAAAATTGCCAAATAATGGACGGGGTTCTCCTGCGCTCACTAAAGACGCCACTAAAATAGTCTTTTTAGATATTATTTTATCATTCTAAAGGTTATAAGGAGCGCTCTCGAGCGTCTAATATTAACAAAAACAAGCCTGAATCGAGAGTTGCTAAATAACGCTAAAAATTTGAATATTATTTTTATGAACCTGTTATATGTTATTTATAGTTTCATATTATTATCTTCATACTTCGTTTTTTTGGTATTCAAATTTTTTGGTTTACTTATATATTTTTCCTTTCATAGAATGCATGATTAAATTTTATTGATTGAATAAATATAAATACACAAAGATTCGATCGACTAATATAGATTTAAGTACTTTATCTAAAGAAATAATTTTATGGGATTGTAAAGTAAATCTTGATCAAAATCATTAATATTTTGATTTTAAAATAAAATATTTTAATTGATATTTTCTTAATTTTCAAAATGCTAGTTTTGAAATATTTTTTAAAATATATTTGACAACCAAACGTTCAGATTATCTCTAGAAAAGCCTTATATAGTAAACCGTTATCTTCAAGCGTTGCGTTATTACGCATAATTTAGATTTAAAAACTAATTTAAGATAGCTAGAATAGAGATAATTATTTTATATAATATTTAAGAAAAATCACAAAACTTTTTATCGATTTGCTATTATTTTTATAATTGTATCGCATATTTTATCAACGCATCGCACCATGTTTTTGAAATTTTATTATCATCATAAAGCTCCATGTTTATAAATTTATACCTAATTGGCTTTTTTTGTAATAACGCTGTGTTAAATAACACAACGTTTGATCAAAACGCGTTTATTATAAATGCGGCCTTATTAAAAGAATTTTATAAAGGACGATATAATTACCAAAATATTATAAATTCATAGTATTATATGTAGAATCCATTCGAAGTTTCTCAATTTTAGATCATTTACTAGGAGGGCGATTTTTAAATTTGAATAAAAATAATTGATTTAACCAGAAACGTATATTTCACATTTTAAATTTCGAAGTGTTTTGAGCCGGCTTTTGAATATCTTAATTTGTGTTAATTTTTATATTTAGGTGATTCAGAATTTCACCATTTTAAATCATTTTCTGAAGTCGTAAGATTTAAAAAAATTGTATTTTAATCGGTAATGTATTCCAGTATGTGCAGAGTACCCACCACACTATGAATTTATAATATTTCCCTGTTTATTTTTCTATGAATTTTTCATATAAATTAACAAATACATAAAATAATACTGCGAAAAATGTCTGAAATTATTCATAGGATAGGAAGCAATCGCGTCACCCTAAAAAATTTGAAGAGCCCTGAAAATTTTAGATTTTTAATACCCCCCCCCCCCCCCCCCCCCCGCTCCCACGCAAAAAAGAAGTAATTTTAAAAATGTTACTTAAAAAAGAAGGTCGTTTTGAAAATAATTTTATAAAAAAAAATTTTGATCTCCCTGAGATTGTAAAGGCTAGTGGCATCTCTGATAAGTAATACACTACTTAAATTTTAAATTGCCATTGCCCCAAGTATATGATTAAAAATTAAATTTCGAATCATCATACATTCCATATATCCCAATATAAATTTTTACTTTTTAAAAAAAAATTGGTTATATTTGCAATAAAAATAAAACCTCGATAAATAATTTTTACTGGAGGAAACTATCCATTTTTTGTGTCCTTTGTTTATTTAAAAACTATTCACCTGTAGTGATGCAAAATCGCTCCATTTTAGCCGATTTTTAAAAACGATTAGCTCAATATTTTATCCATAAATTATCACCCAATCCTGCCTCTTAGATGGCCTAAAGGTTTGGACATCTATTAAGGAAATCTCGAGGCCTAGGCAATACTTTTTGGCTAAAATATTGAGTTAACCATTTTTAAAAATCGGCTCGAGCGATTTTGCATTTACTACTCACTTGTATAAAATTTAATAAAATTGATAACTGTCACACGGGGCAGAAAGAACGATTGGAATGGGTACAATTTGAAAGTTTTAGAGTTTTTAGGAAGGCAAAGGGTTTAAAATTTTTGCTTAAAAAAATATTCCAATCATATTAATGCAAATTAAATTTTCAAATCCATCTTTGCTAGGGACAAAGCGTCCGCTTCAAGTGCGTATTGCTTGAATCGGAAACTGGCAAGATACCAAGCGTAACTTGGGTTAGATTAAGCGGTGGGTCGACCCTATCTAGTAACTCTCTAGTTCGTAACTTAGGGGGTAACGAAAACGGAGCGGAACTCATCTTGACGTCTATTTCGCCCTCGGATCAAGGCCATTATGGGTGTGTCTTACCAGCCCCTTACGATAAGTCCGTCAGGGCCATCGTCACTCTACGGGTAACTTCCAGGCCTGTTTCTCGTCCGGAATTAGGAGGTATTCTTTTATACTAGATGTAGATGCTGCCTGCCTAATAATTAAAAAATCGATATTGTTTTATTTCAAATAAGATGCCCTTATTAGTGATCTGCATCGGGCCTAATTTTCCAAGCCCGGCTCGAAATTTTTTAAAAAAGTTTTGCCCTGCCCGGTCAGAACCCGAAATTTTTTTAAAAAGTTTTGCCGGCCCGGCCCGGACCCGAAACATTTTTGGAAAAAATTTACCGGCCGGCCTGAATTTTTCTAAATATAGAAATTAATTTTTATAATCTCAAAATAAACGATAAATTTCATATGGCGTCTAGTTTCTATAAATAAAATAAATATTTTTATTTTACATAAAAAATTAAACATAAATTTGATAAATTTAGAGATATTTTAAAAAAATTTCTAAGACCCGACCCGGCCTGAATTTTCTTAAAAAGTATTAGACCCAACCCAGCCCGAACTCAATTTTTTTTCGGGCTTGGGACCGTGCCTACTTTTGCAGATCTCTAGCTCTTATATCAGATAAGCTATTATTTATCAAAAAAATATATAAGATGTTTGTAGTTGTGGGTTATTAGAATTTTTAAGTTGTAAAAGGGAGAGGTGGACTTTTAAATTAAAATTTTTTTTTTTAAAATAAGCAGATAAAAATAGTAACTTATATTTAAAATTTGCAAAAAAAGAAGGAAATTCATATCCGGAATGCAAATATCCAATAAAATTTAAAATAATAGGAGCAATAGCTACGGTTTACAAATATTTATAGGAACCTAATTAAGAGAATATTGATGAGGGGGGATCACAAAATGAAAAGAAATGGGGGATTTTCACATTTCCAACTAGGAATTCTAAATATATATTAAAAATGAAAATTTATTTGTTTAATTTTTTTCTCTTTTAAAAGACCGTGTCTCTTCCCCGATTGTTGAGCAGAGAATAGATAACCTTTATCAAACAAGTGGACAACAAGCGGCCCAAATTGATGAAAACGATGAGGAATATGTTCCAACTACCACTTTGTCTTCAATCATCGGTTCTTATAGGTGTCAGACCGATGAGGCCACATGTCAAAATGGTCAATGCATCAAGCGGGCCAATATCTGTGACGGCTTAAGTCATTGCAGCGATGGCTCGGACGAAAGAAATTGCCGTTTTTTTTCACCCATATTTATTTGCTTATTAATTAGGGAAAATGTATAAGAAGGAATTTTTGGCACTTATTTTGAGAAGAAAGAAAAGAAAAAGGTATAATACGCTTAGTTTGAAATAAGATTTATTTGAGGTAAGGACAATATAAGTAATTTATTTTGCAGAAGTTTATTTTTAATAGAATAAGCATCTATCGTTATCAATCAGCCGCATCATTTATTCTTGTTATTTATTGTTCGTGTTTGCTTATTGTATTTTATGTTATAGTCTTTTTGAAATTGTGTTGAGATCGCCATTATATTTATACTCCTGCTGACTACTATCCTAGATCTTTTTTTATTATCATTATTGACTAATATTTATTTTAATATATCATTTTTTTTTTCAAACCACGGGCATGTTATCTGCTGAAAAACTAATAAAATTAAAATGGATAATTTAAATTTCAAAGGAGACTCATGTGTCTCTTTCTGTTTTCTGACATTTTCAAATTTAATAAAAGATTACGATGAAAAATAATTCTTTGGACCTACCAAATCTCTGCTCTCTTAAAAGTTTAAGATTTCGTTATAAACTAATATTCTTCTTAAACCCCTTTATCAATTTTGATATCTCAGATTCAAACTATTATGCAAAATTACATAAACTAATTATATTTTTATTTACAGCCGGTTTAACCAAGAATGACGGAGATGAAAGTAAATATAATTATTTTTAATTTTCTATTTCCTTTTTTTTAAAAACTTTTCTATAATATGTAGGAAAAGAATATCCTTATAGTCCTCTCTTATTAATAGTCTCATAAATATATAACCTCTCTCTTTTCTCTTCTATTAATCTCAAAATATTTTGTTATACCTATGCATCCATTCACATGTCGATGCTTAATATATTTTTTTTAATATCTCACTTTACTATACATTATACATGCATACAAATTCATTTTATAACCCTACCCCATTATTCTTTATAACCTTTCTAACCCCAGGCTTACTTACCTCCTGGCCTTCTATGTCTCATTCCAAATCCATTGATGGATATTCTAATTCACAGGTTTTATCCTGAGCGAGACACACCACTTAAAACAGTGACATTTTTGTATTTAGGGATAATTTACGATTTTATTTAACAATTTTATATAAATGCTTAAAGAACTAATAACGTTTAGTTACGTATAACATTACCCTTAACGATTTTTGTTTTTTAAAAAAAAATTAATTTATAAACTTGGATGATTCATGTATTTTATTACCTAAATTTTGAAATATTGATATAATAATAAAAAAAATTATATATATCTAGTTCTTCGCGGATTTCCAGATTTACCTCTATACCAATTATCTTTTGATCTTCTTTCTCCACCTTCTAGTCTCGGATTCGCCCTTTCTAGCACTTTCTTCCATGTCGTTTTACGTTTCCCTCATGGCATCATTTACATAACGTTGCATCTCTTTAACCATATTTAGTTGCGATTATAAGGGTATTTGGGAGCCGATTTTTTACAATCGGATTTTCTCTTTCATCAGCTTGTCTTTTCTAACTCATTGAGAATAGGGTGATATTATTCTATCCCAGAACCATAGGCAACGTTTTAAACCTCCATTTTTAGAAAAGAAGTATTTTGCCTTGCGAAGTAAGTTTCAAATAAAAACAATTTTTAGTTTCAAATTTAATTTTTTTTACCTATAAAATTATTCAATTTTATGAAATTGAACATAAATTTGGCTTAAGTAATTTTTTAAGTCGATAATAACATACAATTTACAAAGAGATTCAAATATGCCTACGCTTTCATATAAACCTCTATGTGACCACTTTAAAATCAGGCAGAAGACCAATTCATTCTGCTGTGATTCGCCTTCTTTTGGAAGTCTCTTTCTTTCAATCTTTCGCAAGCATTCAGAACACTAATCATATTTCGGTTGCCAGAGACGCATAGCTCTTAGCTACCAACACCTACGACATTTTTATTTACCCCAGAGAGTTTAAAGATTTTTATATTTTTTGATTCCCAAAATTTTTAAACTTTTCCTAACTCAATAGGTCAAGAATGCTCTCATTTTAATTATATATTCTCCCCTCTTCAACCTAATAGTCATATTTTTATTAATACTAAGACTAAATCAAGGCCAAATTGAGTTTATAAAAGATTGGCATCTCTATTTAAGAAGATCTCTATCTTCCATCCTTGAAAGGAATCAACGTTTGTTTGTCAAACACCCCGTCCCCTTTCCAGCTGAATATACAACTCGTATGCTTGTCCCATCCTCTGCAAAACCTATTTAATCCCCCCCCCCCTCAGATGGCGAAATATTATCCTCTCATTTTCAATAAAAAATCTCCCATAGATTTGAGGGCATCATATTCTTTCTGTAAATATCGTGGATTCTGGTAAACTTATCTTTACCTCAGATAAAAACTCACGCCAAATGAGGAGTTATATCTATATCCTAGGCAAAAAATTAAATCCTGAAATGCAAATTTTCTAAGTTTCGCCACTCACTATTTCACAATCCCCATATATTATTCCTTCTTTTCATTTTTTATATACCGATATAATCTATTTTAATAAAATAATTTAATTTTAAAAATACCATAAAAAACATGCCTAATTTAAATATACTCAAAAAATTGTTGTTCACTAATTATTTTAGAACTCATTGGTCGCATCTCGTATCTAATGTGTGTATTTGTATACGTAAATGCATGATTCTTTATTATTACCCAAATTCCAATAAGGTGTAAGAAGATAGGCAATTATTTGAAATATTTTTTTAAATCTAAATTATTATCAAAATAATTATTATATGATTTATTATTTTAAAAAAATATTATAATATTTAATGCTGCCAATTCGGATTATTTTGAAAAAAAATCTATGATTACCATTCACTGTTTAAATGATAACTAATGATGATACTAACAAATTCCAAAAAAAATTAACCAACTATAAAAACAACTAAATAATCTCGTATATCTTCCTACGCCTTTCTCTACAATGAAATTTTACCCATTTAAGTATACCATGTAAATATAAGTATGATTCTGTCAGTAATTTTTTTATATTAATTATTACATATTATCAAAAATATTTTCAAATCTTTCTTTATTTTTTGATTACCAATCCATTAAAAAAAATTGTTAGACACCTTTTCTTTAAGTTTTTATCAATTACAGTAAAACTTCTTAAAGGTGGGGGCTGATCACCTTTAAATAAATCTTATAGTGCAACCTAATTGAACTTTTGCGTTTCAACACAAATAATACATTTCTAATGGTATCATGCAAATTGATAACAATTAATAAATATTAATAAAAACGCAAAATGGTTTGCTTTTTTTTGAAAACGTTTAATTAGGCTCCACTATTAAGGAGTGTCTAATGATAATGCATACGTCAGATAGTATAGCAATTTATTAACTAGCGATCAAATTTTTTAAAATTTAAATATTTATTAATCCTACCCCATATGATAGCCCATTTATGCTTAATCTAATCTCGCCGAAAAGGTTTGTTTCATAAAAATTGGTCCTAAGGGGATTCTAACTACGGATCTGCTACACCTCATTCCATAACCTCTGAACATATCACTATTCCAAAATTGATAATTTTTTTGTATATAGAATTCACCGACTATTCTGTTTTTTTATAAAAAGAATTCACGTCTGACACGCATTATGACTACTCCAAAGAGTTTAGTATAGGTGTAACAACCCACTTTAGATGTTTTTTATAAATTTTATCATCCTTTTAAAACAATTCACATTTATTTCAACCTACAATATATATTGAAAATTCTTCAGGATTCCAAAAATTCTGCGAGCCCAACGAATATCGTTGTAACAATGGCCGCTGCGTGCAAAAGATATGGCGATGCGATGGAGACGATGATTGCGGCGATCAATCGGATGAACTCAATTGTGGTAACTACTCTTCCATTCTTTTCATTTCAAATAAATATGCTTAAAATCACTAATACACTAATAAGTATGCAATCAAAATTTTCTTGAGCTGTTATACCTTTTAAAAAATAATCAAACAATTATTTACAAACACATTTTGACTAATCTATTTTATTGTAATTTAATGCATATTTTATAGATAGAATTAAAATCTGATTGTTTTATAATAAACGAAATCAATTCTTAGTTTTAAATATCTCACTCACAAGTTATCTTATTTATTTTTTATATTTAAGCATCGTATGTATTTTTTTCAAATCTCTAAAAAATAGCGACAAACGCTCCAGGTTCCACATGCTCCGCTACAGAATGGCGTTGTATGTCTCGTGACCAATGCGTACCGGCATCTTACCAATGCGACGGAGAGACAGATTGCGCCGACAGATCGGACGAGATTGGCTGCTCCCCACCTGTTATAGTATCCCCTCCCACCCGCTATGTAACAGCGCGACGTGGAGAGACCGTACAGATCACATGCGCTGCCCGTGGAACACCCGTGCCATTAGTGTCTTGGCGACTTAATTGGGGTCATCTGCCCGCCGGTCCACGTGTCTCCTCCACGAGTCACGATGGGCGCGGTATATTGACCATCCGTGGGGTCAGAAAAAGCGATCAAGGAGCATACAGCTGTGAGGCTATCAATAATCGAGATGCTATCTTGGCTACTCCCGACGCTATTCTCACCATTGTAGGTGATGATGATCTCACGCCTACCACCCATACGCCACCGTCTTATTCCCCACCACGAGAGAAATCCTCTCCTGGTACTATCCATTTATTTATGACATTTTTTCCCATTACCCTGCACTCAAAATTAGCGCTAATTCGCGGCGTTAATATAAAAAAATATGTATTTTTATATAATTCGCAGCGAATTCGCGCATATTTTATATACTTCGCCACGAATTTGCGCTAACTGTGAATGCAGCCTTAAGTTGAGGCGTTTTATTGTAATAGTCGTTTTTTAAATTATGGAATTGTAACTGAATCCGCGTGATTATCATACGACTTTTAGGAAATTTGATCTTTAATTCTTCAAAACCTAAATTGATATTTAATATAAGTTTATGTATAATATAAAATAAAACGAGGAAAAAATTGTATGGGAAAAGACCCTAAATTCAATAAAAGTATATTATTATTGAAATTATCCAATGTTGTGTAAATATATTAAATAAATAATTTCGAAAAGGTTCAATATGCCAGCCTCCTTATTTCAATAGCAACGCGAGAACTCCCTCAGATTGTGTGTCCTGTTTCTGTTCCGGCAGGACTACCCAGTGCTTTAGCAGCGACCAACTATATTTATCGCAAGTAGTTTATTCGTTTAGCTTGAATTAAAATAAATATATATTTTAATACCACGATAAAATAAAGAACTATAATTTTTTGACAAAGAAAATAATGGAGAAAACACTTATTTGAGTTTAATTTTTTAAAATTATAATTATTTTATTCATTTAATTCTAGTATTTTTATAATACATATTTGATGCATTCGTTAACATTCCTTCATGATTTTAAATTTCGGGTTTACTTATTTAAATTCTAATATTACTTTTTAAGTATATATCCACACTTTAAAAGATCGCCTTACGTAATACGATAAACCTAGCAGAAATAGACGGTACACCTATACCCACTAATTTCATTCGCCCTTTACCCGACGGAGTTTCGATCCAAAATTTAGCATTACTATCCAACAATAGGCAATAAATATAATGCTATATATTAGTTAAACGTCATATAATTTTTTTTATTCATCTCGCTACAAACTCCATTTATCATCTTTTAAATAATTGACTTATAAAATTATATTAATTAATAATAGGAATTACAATCAAAAGCCTTGTTTTATCTTTCTTACTAGTGAATTCTTGGGCAATAGACTGAGGAGCTATAGTACGCCCTTGACCTTTGAATTGTTTTACACAACACAGGATGGCAGGCTTACTTCCGGATCAAGAAAATTGAATCATCCGATCCTTATACTCGAGGTGTGGGTTTAGCTTTTTAATTAGCTATTTTTAACTTTTTAACTATTTCTTCCATGCTTTGAGAGAATAGATTTACTAGTTCATTCGTTATAGCTAACCAATATATTTCTTATGTTTAATATAAACGTTTAATTCATTTTAGGGTGATAACAAAATATTATATCATTACTTGCCTTATCTCCCGCAACCCAACGCGTTTCAAAGAATCAAAATCAATCTGGTCGAAGTATAATTTCAATTCTTTAATATTTTCTATTCAATCGTTAATATAGATTACATAAATTATTACACATTGTATATACCTTTTTTAAAAAATATTTTACATCTCATAAAGAATTCTTTCACTCCCTCATCCAATCCAAACTATCCCGAACCTGTTTCCAGGCAAACTTTAATGTCAGTCTTGCAGAATGTTAAATCAATTAAGTTACTAGCTTTGTATGACCCAAGTCAAACCCTAGTCCGGTATACCAATTTTTTATTTTTTTCATTATATTTTTTAATTCCAGTGATACTTATTTTTTTTAAGAATTCTGAATATTCTTAACAATATGAACATTAGGTCACACTTAGGAACTAACCAATGGCATGCTATTCAGAATAGAGAACAAAAAAGAAAACTTCGCCCTCAGCCTAAAAATTTATAGTGTCTCATTCTTAAAGCAAAAATTAGAAGATAATATAAGTATCTCTAATGAAACCCATATATTATTAAATTATCGCTCATAAGGTGTAAACTTCATCCGATCAAATTTACAGGCAATCGATTAAAATAAATTATCATGACATCTAACTAACTCTTATATAAGATAATTTTGGGGAATTTTTTTTAACGTAAAAGGGCGGAGGAGTTTCCTAAGGATACGTTGGCCCTAAATCAGTCTCATAAATATTTTTACATTTTCCACAATTCCCCCTTTTTCAATTTACTAGTTCTTTTTCCTTTTTTTTATTGCAAAAGGAAGTTGCATCTTATAAGATACCTTTGAGGTGGAACGAGTGTAGTTTTTTTTTCAGAAAAATATTCACACCACCACCACCCTATTAATTGATCTTTCTTAAAAACAACGTTACCTTTAGCTTAACCAAAATTAATATGGGAGATGCTGGGACCTATAACCACGGTAAAGGCAAAGCTGTTTTGGTGGAAGAGTGCAGATGCCCACCCGGGTATTCGGGATATTCTTGCGAGGTTCCTTAATATCAAAATTTTTGTAAATTTCTTCAATAATTTATTTAGCCCTTTTCAAAAAATATATACGGTGAATTCCATATCAAATCAACCAAGGTTTCAACCCGACCCCCTTCAATTTTTCTTAAATTTTGTATACTGGTAGTATATACTTTAACTAAGAAAAAAATGAAATTTAACCTTCCAACACTGTTTATCCGCTAAGATATAGCCGTTTAAAGTGCGAGAAAATGGTACATTTTTTACAAAATGTACCTCATTTATTTTCAAATATCTTGAGAAATAATTAAGTTAGAAAAATAATTTAAATTTTATTTTGTAGCTTAATAAAAGTTCTTTAAAATGACATAAAAATTAATATGATAGACATTTGATTAATATCGAAAACCAGATGTGTAAAACAGTAAATGGCCATGGAAAAAAAAGGTATTTTTTTAAATTTTTTTTTCTGTAGATAGATATCACACTGCTTTATATTTGTACAAAATCGTAGACTGGGATCAACTTAGGAGTTATGCATCTTTATATAGCTAAAATTGAATAAATTTAACATTAATATCATCATATTTTAATTTAATGAATAGTTATGAAATAATGTTAATTTAAAAATTATGTGTAAATGATAGGCCCTTACTTTTTTTTATCTTTATCAAAATTTTTGAGAAGTGGCTGGAATAATGAGCTTTGCTTAACACTTTAGTTAAATTTTGTCTCAAAGTTACTTGACAAAATAATTCTAAACATATTTATGACTTTATTTGCCTCAAATTGCATTACATATAATACAATCAAAAATTTATAATTAAAATATATCATATATTATAATCATCCAAGGAATTTTAATAAATTATGACTTTTGTTTTCGTCTAGGGAAATAAAAGCTTGGAACTTTGTGTTCCAGAAATTCTCTTTTCTCTCAAAAATCTGCTTTCAAGATGACTTTCTATGTTCATATATTCGTTATTGCTCATAAATATATAATTTACCCCATAGATATTATTTCTTGCATAGTTAAATAAATCTATTCTTGTCAATATGTGATGTTCATATGGACGTTGCAAGCTTGCTCGAGCTGCTAACCGTTTAGTAACGGCCCCCAAAATATCGCATGGACTTTTACCTTGTGCGGTTTCAAAAAATGTCACTCAGCCTTTATCCCAAAATCATTATCATGATTGTAGAGATATTAAATCTATTATTTTTATATTGGTTATTGCTCCATCAGAAAAATAATAAATTTTAGCCACTCTATTAAATCTTTCCTCCAAGAATACGATCAATTTTTTAAATAAATAAAATGCACATGCGTTGTGCTTTAAACAATCTGATATAACCACTAAATTTACATGTTTTATTATGTTGTTCTCACGGTAATAAATTAAAAAGAGTTGATAGTGACTTGATTATTGGTCTGATTAAATCCTTATGCATGGTTCTTCACTACAAATGCATAGTTTTCTGAAAAGTCTGCAATAACTAAGAATTCGCCAACATTTAAATTGAATTTTAAAAAGTTTCGAATTCATGATTATCATGAAGCTATAAACATATGAGGAATTAAATTGTTTAATTATTCAATTAAATAATCTACAAATTCATCAGCGGATTTTGTCAGTGTTTTGAGGGTAGTTCGATCAACTGCTATCCATTGTTTGAATGTTTTATAATCTATAGAATTCTCGTAAGATAATATATTAAGCCTTTCTTTTAATTTTGAATATATGGGGGAAAATTTATTGTTGAATTTCAAATTTGGTAGATTATTTTATACTAAATAAAATATTTAAAATTATTTTGTCAAGTAATTTTAATTTCGAGATAAAATTTTAAAGTTTTAAACAGCTCACTATCCCAGCCACCTCTCAAATTTTTTTTATAAAGATAAAAAAAAGTAAGGGCATATCATTTAGACATAATTTTTAAATTAACATTATTTCATAACTATTCATTAAATTAAAATGTGATGATATTAATGTTAAATTTGTTCAATTTTAGCCATATAAAGAGTAATAACTCCTAAACCCATGTTGATCCCAGTCTAGGATTTTGTACAAATATAAAGCAGTGTGATATCTATCTACAGAAAAAAAATTTTGAAAAAAAAACATTTTTTTTCTATGGCCATTTCCGGTTTTACACATCCGGTTTTCGATATTAATAAAATGTCCATCATATTTATTTTTATATCATTTTAAACAACATTTATTAAGCTACAAAATAAATTTAAAATATATTTCTAACATAATTATTTCTCGAGATATTTGAAAATAAATGAGGTGCATTTTGTCAAAAATGTACTATTTTTCTGCGCTTTAAACGGCCATATCTTAGCCGGTAAACAGTGTTGGAAAGTAAAATTTCATTTTTTTCTTAGTTATTATAGTATATACTACCAGTATACAAAATTTAAGAAAAATTGGAGGGGGTCGGGTTGAAAATCGACTTTTTTTTGTTGATTTGATATGGAATTCACCATATATACTACACAATGCTATTTAGTTTTCTCATTTAAATAAATTTTTATATCTAAATTTATGGTTCCTTGAGGAACAAGGTTGTCTTCCACTGTATATTAGAAGTCATTTAGTAAATAAGATCATGATTTTCAAATATATTAGATTATTTATTAATTGTTGACATCATAAGAAATGTAGCGATGGTTACGAATTAGACAAACGACCTGGTGATAGTTTAGGCTCTTGCGTTTCATGCTCATGTAATGGGCATTCGAATCAATGCGATCCCGTGAATAAAAGATGCACGGTATAACCAAAATATGAATGTGTTTTGAATTAATCCATAATCCTGCAATCATGGTGGGCGCTAATTCGCTACCCCGCAAGATCAGCGCATATTTTATATAATTCATCGCCGCGAATTCGTGCTAACTGTGAATGCAGGATATTATTTATATATCCAAATATTTTAAAGGTAATTTCTTTAACTTTAGTTTCCCCCCCCAAAAAATCAGTTTTTTAAATATAAAAATAAACATTTTTTTAAATGCACATATCCTATCTTACTATTTTTTCAAAATTTTTCAAAATTTTATAAAACTTCATTGTTTAAATAAACAATAATTTTGCAATCTTGAGGATGCGTTCTAACCAGTTCATTTTCTTTTAATTCTAAGCTGATCTGAATGGAATGTCTTTTTTAGGTCAAAAATAATAATACTCCGTCTTGATACTATCACGTCATCACCCTTATGCAGAATTCTATTAAAAAATGTATATTTTAGCTGCTCAGAATTAAAAACAAAAATGTTTTTTTATTATAGGTCCAATGCTGCTCTTGACAAATCATTTACGAATAATGTACCAAGATGCCACTAATTTTTTGTTGATCTATATACTAATACATTATTGCGTACGAAAAGTAGATAATCAAAACTTGTTCCAAGTTTATTTGAGAATAAGAACGAATAACGAATTTGGGACTAAATTCTTTTTAGCAATTTTCTAATATTTTTTTTAAAATAAGGATTGGTTAATTATTCTATCAAAAGAAACTTGAATGCATATAAAATTGTAATAATCATTTAAAAATAATTTATACCAATAGAATTGTCAACACAATACTGAAGGGGATAGATGCGATAGATGCAAGATAGGATATTATGGTAACGCACTAACGGGAACCATTAACGATTGTAAGCCATGCGCTTGCCCGTTGACTCATCCATCCAACAAGTGCCTACATATTATTATTAATTAAAAAATTAAAACTTCCCTCCCCTTAGACATTGAAAATGTATCCCATTCTTCATCATCCATTTCCATTTTTATCATATTAGTTTTGGTGGCCAGTATTTTTGAAGAATACTAGGTGATCCAACGCAATCATTAGAATTTGCCAGGTCTGGCGATATCCTAGCTTCTTTCTTTTAAGAGATTTAAAATAGATACGAATTCGTATCTCATAAGTGTAACGACACCATTTAGGTTAAAAAGAAATGTCTTGTATAAATGATAATTGAATAAAAGCTTCTCTCCCACTTGCGTTCTCGATAGCGACAACCAAATGACTTGCAATCAGTGTCCGAGAGGGTTTGCTGGCAGAAAATGCCAAGCCTGCGCTAACGGCTACACCGGAAGCCCCACGAACGTAGGCGACTCATGCCGACCAATAGCTCCAAGTTATATTTAATTTTTTCATCATCACATAGTTATTCTTATATATAAAGAAAACTGGAAAAAGAAGAGGGTGGCTTTCATTTTCAATCGAATCGAGAAATAACAGAGGAATATAATATATAGCTCTTACATAACCCCATTCTTAAACTTTCCTCAAACTCCATATAAGATTCATTATATTTATAATATTCATGGATGAATGAGAAAAGGCTTATTAAAATTCGAAGGGGGGGGGGAAGAAAAGTTAGTTAAAAATAAATTCCATTTAAATGTGGCTAAATTATAAAAGGCACTCCTTCGGTACAAGACAGACCTCCCATTTCAAGTATCTGCGATTTAAGGGGTGCTTTGAGTCCTTATACCGATCGGTCCGGTGCTTGCATGTGCAAAGTAATTAATTAATAATTTTATTATTAACTCATTGGCAATGACAAAAGAACGTAAGTTTTTCCAATTTATATTCTACTACGAATAATATCATTTTAAAAAGTTGATTTAAAAAAATTATAAATAACATTTAAAGCAATACACTCCATTAATTTTAAAAAATAATATCATATTTATCGCTTTTTGGTATAGGCTCTTACTTCTGGTCCAACTTGCAACACTTGTAAAGCCAACGCTTTTTATCTAGCCCAGGAAAATCCTAATGGGTGCATTGGATGCTTTTGCATGGGAATCAGCAAAGACTGCCAAAGTTGTAGGTTTTTCAGGAAGAAGGTTAATCATTAAATCATATTATACGAATCCTATTTATTATTCAAATTTCCCCTTTTTTTATATTAAATTTGCCTGAGAAAATTATATTGGTTTATATTTTAAATTTTTTTTAGGTCAATTAGATGATGTTAAATTCTTTGATCGGTAATTAGGAAATTCAGATTTCTAAAAAACTATATCATTATTTTTATACAATTACTAACAAATTTTCATCCTCTTCAAAAAAGGTATCATATCCTTTGGTATCCCGGGGCCAGTCTCCGCGAGAACTGGTGACAAAGCACGCTATCGCTCCGTCATCATCGGAACAGCGCATCGGAAGCCAAGAAGATGTGGGCATACCTTTCGTAGTAACCGCTAACGATCCTCGCGGAACCTTAGCGGAGGTAAAATTTAACGGCGACACTGGTCGCGTTCCCACTCTCTATTGGAAACTGCCTTCCCACTATCTAGGCAACAAGGTTAGTTTATTTATCTAATCGTCATAGCTTATATCAGAGACCTGCAGTGATAGCCGGATTTTTTTAAACAATTATTTGCTTCCATCCGGATTTTTTTAAATATATTATATTTATTTTTGATTTTTATAGCTAATAATGGCCAGTTAATACGGCCCGGCCCGGGTATATTTTAAAAAAATGGAAAATACGGCCCGGTTTGGGCAAGGCCTGCAGGTCTCTGGCTTATATATTAGTGTTGAAAAAAAATTTTTTAATCTTTAACAGGACAGTAATTATTTTTATCTATTTTTTAGCAGATGAAATATTTTGTTACTTACTGGAGTTTTTTTTTATTTTTAAACTCATTTTATACATACTTCAAAATATTTTTTTAACTAAATTTAACTTAGTTTTTCTCAAATGTTTTTCAAAATAAATAAATAAAAATGCTATAGGTAAGTTCCTATGGTGGTCATATTAGGTATTCGATACAGGTAAATGGCTATGGGCATCCCAATACTGCGCCGGAAGTCGAGATTATGGTCAGCTTATTTTTAAAAGAAACTTGATTTGATTGAAGGGGAAATTAAATGCATAGTTTAAAAAAATAAATATGCACCTATATATATTATTACTCGCCTAACTGCCGACCTCTTTCCTTTATGGTTCCTTGATTTGAGTGAGTCCTATAAAAAATACGTAGTGAATGGTGAATTAAAATATGAGCATTTGATCACTCCGTGAAAATGTGTTAATATTAGTGCTGTAAACGTTACTATAAAAAGAAACGCGTTATCGTTACGTCTGAAAAAAGGAACGCGTTACCGTTACTCGTTACCTTTTTAAAAAAGGCGCGTTACTGACTATTCAAATAAGTAACTGGTTATTCGTTACTTAAAAAATTAAATATTATATACAAAAAAAATATTTATTATTTTCTTACAATATATAATATAAATAAAATTATACAAAAATAATATATTATTCATAAGATAAAATCTTTTTGTAACAATTTTTATTTATTTTTAGCAACAATTGATTTTCAAATTGATCAGATAAACAAGAGCGCTTAGTACTCAGCCAGCACAGCTTTCGCCGTGTTAAACACACATTCAATTGGCGCAGAGGATGGGAGAGTTGAATTATATTTACTAAATAAAAAATTTTAATTCTGGGAATTTATTAAAGATATTTAAAGAATTATCTTTATTTTGAAAAATACTTAATAGACCATCTTCACAAAGATTCATTCATTTCCTCATCAAAAAAATATTTATCTTGTGTTTGATAAAGGAATTAAGTCTGCTATTTCTTTATCAAGATCTTTTCTTGAACTGAGATTAAGTTCTTACAATCTTCTTTTGTTGACCTCTAATTTTAGCCAGGGCCAATTCAATTAAATGCGGGTGAATATTGCGGATAATATATATTCATTATAGATGTGTTTGAATCTATTGAAAATAAAAGATAATTGAAATATAAATTGTAAGCAATATTTGAACTGTAAACATTTTATCTATACCTTCCAGGATTGAATTAATAAGCGGCTTACAAAACTTGAAATTATTTAAAGCCAATTTTTAAGTTTTAATATTATAATAGTTATGGTGGGAGTGAGATATCCCAAATGCATTTTTTCTTCAAAATTGAAAGAGCCGTAGCAATCGGTTCCATAACCTATAAAATCATTCATATATATACATATCATATTTCTTAATTAGCACTAACCATACAATATTCATCCATGAAGGATTTGTCGTTATCTGAAAATCTCTATAATTTAGATTTATCACAGAATTCGTCAAATTTTCAATTCTCCTTAATAATACTATCTATTGACAATTTTTGTGATACACAATTAATCCACTAATTTCTTTGCCATTGCTAATGTGGTGGCAAAATCATAAAGATATCGATACAAATTACTTTATTTTAAATTTATTTATTATAAAATATAACTAACTTACTATTAACCTAATAAATTCTATATATATACTTTTCAAAAGTAAATAACAATCAATGTAACTATAAGATTAATATTATGTTAAGCGAAAGAAATAATATAACAAGTAGGTAGGTTAATATAATTTAAAATAAATTTCGAATGTATTAACATTCCCCCTTCTGTTCTTTCTTCAATCTTTCTGTGTTCGTCACAGTCGTCTTGGAACTCGCTTCCAATCGTTTGTTGTTTTTGTACGTTCTCCTATCTCTTTTATCCTCGATCCCGTTCCGTTCAAATCGTTATCATTAATTCGTTGTTTAATATAGAATAATTTGTCGAATGTAAATAAGAGTAATGGAATTGGAATATAGAATGAATTAGAAGAATATTATATTTAATAGAAATTATTGAATAAGAAGGATATACGTATAACAATTTGAAACTAAACCAATAGCAATACTAAAACAAGAAATATAAGATATTTTTTAAACCCAATATAATATTTTGAACCGATACCAATATTTTGTTAATTTTGGATTTTTTATGTTGGTTCCCGGCCCTATAATATATTATAATTTAATTGTTTATATTTTAATTTCATGATTAAGCTTTTTAAAATATTATGAAAGAATACTTCTTTTAAATGGTTATTTTATCATGTCCATGTCTATTATTAAAGTAATGTTTAAAATAATAATATATGCTGGACATTGAGATTGAAATATTTGCTTTAGTAAATAATTTACATTTACAAAGTGTAGACTTGGTACCCTTAATTTTCTTTATTGATGTAAAATATGTTTCAAATTGGGGCCAGGGAAGTGTTAAATCTTCTTCTGGAGAAGTATGTACTATGGACATAATATTCTTAAAATAAATTATTAAATAGAATAATAATATAACATTTACTTTGAATTTTGATTGAATATTAATTAGATTAACATTTGACTGAAAATTTAACGAGAATTTAAAATGAAAATGAAGGAATGGTATTTGATATGATTTAAAAACTCGGCTTAAATTATTTATATTAAAAAATAAATAAAGGTTTTATTGTACAATAAATATGTTTTTCTTTTTTAAATATTTTTTACGGAAAAATTTAAAGTAACGAGCAACGTTTTGCGTTGCCGTTACTCAAAAAGAAGAAACACGTTACCGTTACTCGTTACCTCTAGAAGAAGGTAACGAATGGTTTTACATTTCTTCAAAAAAGGTAACGACGTTGCACTAATTAATATTTATTTATTTTTCTTATTTAAATTATGTTTAAGAACAATTTTTTTTAAAGTTATAGTTAGGAAGGTGCTCGTCTTAACAACTATAAAAAAAATTAGATATAGACCCAAAAATATTTTTCAATTCAAAATGTGTAAAGTTTATAAAAATAAACTAACAAACAATCAACAATAGATTTTTAGACCCTCTTTTCTGTGGCAAATATTACATCGATTATGAAATTCTAACAAATTCTTAATTTTGCCTCCTCTCCTCTTTTCCTGGTTTCTTTTTTAATGAAATATATTTTATTTTTAAAGGGAAATGGTATACATTTAGTGTACGATTCTGATCAACGAAGTCCGATCCCTATCCAACCAGTCGTAAGGATCGTACGATTATATGAGGTATACTTAAATTATTAAATTGATTCATTACATAATTTTCAAATATTTTTTGTTTAGAATAATTGGAAGAGGAATGATGGCAACAGAGCTACCAGGGAACATTTAATGATGGCTTTGGTTAATTTGCAACGAGTCGTTATCAAATTAACTCATTATAACTCTACCCTTTATTCAAGGTTTGACATAATTTACATTCGTTCTATAACACACATAACAAATAAATGGCTGATTATTTTTAACGAGAAAAAGTAGAAATAAAATCCTTATTTATAATTAAAAGGTGGGGGGGGGGGGAATAAAATAAGGAACGATAGGAAGGAAAGGAATTAAAGAGAAAAAAAATATAGAGGAATACTCCTTTATTTCATTCATAAATGGTTTGATATCTTAGCATAAAAGATTTATCGATTGAGTTAGCCGACGAAAATAAGGCCGATTCTTCAGGTATGGCTCATGCTGTCGAAAGATGCAACTGTCCCCCGGGTTACAAGGGACTCTCTTGCGAGGTTTATATTTATTAATTAGTTAACCATTCTCGTGGCATTTTTATTTTTTTAAATTTAATTTTAGAAATTTTTTCCAACTTTCTTAATTTTTTTACCAGAATTTAATATTTCGATTTTAAGAAATGCGCGCCAGGATACACAAGAACAGAAGGAGGCTTTTACCTGGGATTATGCAAACCTTGTTCGTGTAATGGTAGATCTAACGAATGCGACACCAATAATGGTGTATGCAAGGTTATCATTTATAAATTATATTTTTTGAGATCTCGACTTTCGTATCTCATATAGTGAGAAAAATTTTACCAAAAAAGGTGGTATTTACTCAGCTTGTGGTAAAACAAAAGTATTCCCATATCGTTAAATTTTATATGTCATTTATATTAATATAGAATTGTCGCGATTCAACTGGCGATAACTGCGATAGATGTAATCCAGGTTTTTACGGAAGACCGCAAGATTCGTGTAGACCCTGTTCATGTCCAGCTATAGCTGGGTGAATACCAATTTTTTTTTCTCTTTCAAATATTGTTATTTATTTTAATAAATAAAAATTTTACATGAAAATTTGAGGACGGGGCAATTTGGGTGAATTGAATTGTTTTTAAATATTAATATTTAAATAAACCTTAGCCATAACTGAAAAAAATATTATTAGCATACCCGGAACATGCCGTATAGATATGAGAGACAATCAGGTCACCTGTGAAAGATGCCCACCGGGGCATATAGGAAAGAAATGCGAAAGGTATAATAGCTAAAAGTTTCAACCTTTTTTTATTGTTTGCCAAAATTTATAATAATCGATTTCCTAGAAAATTTTTAATACACTATTGATTAAATTTAAATTTGATTTTTCTACTATTTTTTTTGTTTTGTTTACCTAACAGTTTTAGAAGAGTCAAAAAATCTGGGTAAGTATATATATTTTTTTTCTATAACCAAAAAAAATACAGCGTTGAATGACTTTCGTTCGTAAGTCAATAAAATTGCACTTCTGGTTTCTTTCGAAATTTCCTTTTGTTTAACGCTAAACGCGGTTGCCTCTTGTTATTGCCATTTATTTTTTCCTTTTCATTCTATAGAACCGTGGTTTTAATTCCTTGTTCTTTTTCTATAATTTATTTTCTTCTTCAAAGTTTTTACCTAGATAAAAAAAGAAAACCGAATGTAATATATCTATTTATAATTTTTTGAATGATGAAATTCATTCTAACCTTTACTTATCAATTATTCTATTCCTTCTGGCAAAATGACCGAAAAAAAGGCTCCGATTCTGAATATTTTTAAAAACTAAATGGTGCCTAAAATTTTGAAAGAAGGGCCCCTAGTTCCGTTCGAATTTTCGGTTCTAGTTGCAATCTTTAAAACTTACAATGGCTACTCATAAATTTATTTGTTTTTTAAAAATATTTCTTTGTTTGCCTAGTTGATAATTGTGTGAGCATTGGTGTGTGTTTTTAAGTGCATGAACATTATATCCTCGTTTTTTTAAAAATCGTTCGTGAAGTGAAATCATAATTTAAATTATCTTTGTTTAAAAAAAAACATATACCGTATTGTTTTCAGAATAATCATCCAATTATTTATTGTATTTTTTAGCTAACCTTATAATGTATTATACCTGTAAAGAGTTTTCCTTTTTTTTCTTTATTTGGGATTGGGAGCATATCTTAATTTGTTTTTGAAAAATAATATCTTTTAGATGTGCACCACCATATTCTCCCCACCCAAGTAACCCAGATTTGTGTTATTTGCCACCTCAAACCACAACCACCCAAAGTTCTTATTTTTTAAATTTAATTGATAAATAAATTTTGAACATAAATGATAACTTTATGATATATAATTATTAAATTCTTCAATTCTCATAAATTATTATAATTATTTTTCAGGCATAAATTTTGTTATATACTAAATATTACCAAGATTAGTTGTTAAAAAAAAATGAAAATTAGATATTTTTGTAACTTTAAAAAAGATTTTTTTATATATTGAATTGTGAAAAAAGTATTTTTTGTCAAAATTCTCTTCGAAATTTAATATCGAATTTATATATTTATTATTTTAAAGCTACTATCGTGACAGGGAGATCACTGTCTAGCATGTTGAGGATAATTGTCAACGAGCCTCGACACTTAATATTGGATGAAGGGGAAACTGCTACTTTTGTGTGTAATATCATTAAAGACGTAAGTGTTTTAAAAAAATAATCATTCCATTATATCATTTAAAAGGTTTATTTTTATTTTTTCTGCCTTATTTTTCAATTCAATTTTTTTCAGTTATTTAATTTGATATATTTCACATATAATCTAAATATTTAAAAATTATATATTTTTTAAAAAACATTAAAATTTATCGGAATCACAAACTATAAAAATTATTTGATCATAAAATTAAATAAATAATATAATTTAAAGTCACAAGAAGGATTCAAGATATCTTGGGCCAAACTAGGTTACTCTAACAAGCCTTTACCCGATAAGGCGGAAGATTTGATAGGGATTCTCAAGATTCCTAATGTCAGGCTCGAGGACTCTGGCTTGTACATTTGCACGGCATCCACTAAATATCAAATCTTCGAAGCCCAAGCTCGATTAGACGTTAAAGGTATTAAAAAGTTTTTTTAAAAATAAATTTTTTTGCATCAGCTCTTTTGGATTCTCTAACCTCAACTATATCTCACTAATTATAAATAATCTTGCTCATTTCATTAATTTGCCTGCTCCTATTCCCATCATTTCTAGTAGTAAATATTATATTTATATACCAATTTGATAAATTTCTCTACATAATATGATGAACTATTCTTTTTTACAAACGAACTATACCACCTTGACACTTAATTAATCAAGCTAAAAGATACGAACAATTGAAAGTATTCGTAATACCGACGCTGATCAATGCCAACGAAGGCGATGACGCTTCTTTTGATTGCCAGGTTCAAGGCGGTAACGGAGACGTAGTAATTAATTGGTACAAGCACAACGATAATTTGCACCCTTCCTATAAGGTTATTCTCTATTTCCTATTTTTTTCCTCCAACCAATGACTATAATACTAACCTAAACCTACGAATTGTTCATTAAAAAGTGTATGTACATTAAAGTCTGCCATTGAAATGCATTTAGACGAAATGTGATAGGCATTTAAATGCCTGACGTCCACCTACACCAATGACATTGACTACAGCTGACTCAATGTATGTGCACTTTTGATAACTGAATCGAGTCATGGTTAGTAATAATCGTTCTCTGCCAACTTTTTAAGAAAATTTTGCTGTAATAATTTGATAAATATATATAATTAATTATACTTTAAAAAAACGTTTGCGCTCTTCATGTATCTTGTTAACTGAGGTGTATTATGATTAAAGGAATCCATTTTTTAATATGTTACATTTTTCATTATTCATAATTATTTATCCTTCTATAATTATTTCTTTCTCTCTTTACGTAAAAGACAAATGGTACGATAATCGAATTCAAAAATGTCAGATCCTCCGATTCTGGATTGTACGTGTGCGAGGTTTCCAGCCCCAATGGCCGTTACAGATCGACATCTAGACTCCTGGTCGATTTCGCTAAAAGAGGTCACTCTTCATAATACATTTAAAAAAAATAAATAAATCACTCATGCTTAATATAATTCAGAGATTTGCCAAGCCGGCCTGAAGTGAAGCATAAAATGATTTGATTTTAAAAATTCAGGCCCGGGCAAAAACAAATTATAAGCTGGGGGCGAGCGGAACTTAAAAATAAAATACCCTAACGGGCTTTTTACGGCTTAAAGATATTCCAAAAAGCTTAAATGTCTCTGTAGGTCTTTCATGTTGTTAATTGCATTCAAAAATATTTTATTCCCAAGACACTTCTTCGTTGTTTCCATTCACCGAACCCAGAACTAGCCCATCTTCGAAACCCCCTTCATCAATTCCTTTCACTGAATGGGTTACTTTTACATCTGCTAGCATCCCGCAAATTCTCTCAACTTCCACAACAGTATCAACAACAATGGAAAGCTCCTCCCCATCCACATCGCAAACGCCTACATCAACTCAAGCTATTATTACGTTAGCCTCGATTCCTGATGTAGCGCCTATGGCAGTTGCTAGACCGCGAGAACTTTCTTTGAGGATAGGATCGTCAGCAATTTTGGCTTGCGCGATAACTGGGAGACCGGTACCGAATATTAGATGGATCAGGACCGATGGGAAACCTATTAGTGCTAGTCACAAGGTTTTTATCTAAATAAAAATTTATCATACCAGGGAAAGATAAGTATTCCTAGAATAATAAAAAATGATATTCATAAAATTTTATCTTTTGATAATATGTCGTCCGAATCGAATGACTAATTTTAAACTTCTGCAAAATGTTTTTTTATAAAAAAAATAGATATACGGAAACCAACTTAGAATTATATCTGCAGTGGTCGAGGATTCTGGCACATATGTATGTAAGGTTTCGAATTATGTTGGCTCGACCCAGGCCGAGATCACGTTACATGTTAAAGGTAACATTTTTTCGTGAAATTTGGTTGTGAAAATAAATTTATGTTAATTTTAATTTATTTTTAAGAATTTTTATATGATAAATAAAGTATTATGTTTTCTCTCACATTTATTTAGTGGTTTATTTATTAGTCATGCGCCAGTCATAATATTATAAAAACAAACATTTATTAATTTTTTTCCTAAAATTATCATCGACTTATTATTTTGTAAAAAAAGCCTTAAGTACTCCAGGGTTGACGGTGTACCCGAGTAATTCTCAAAGCGTTAAAGTTGGCGGCCAAGTTCAGTTCGAATGCAGATTGAACGCGGGGGAAAGCGGTTCGGCTCTCGTATGGAAGAGATTGGGAAACAAAGAAATACACAGACAAACCACCCAAGTTTGTCGATTTTGCATAATAATTTTTTAATGAATTATTATGTCATCGCTAGAAGAGCTGTGATATATATTAATTAAAATTGTAATCCGAAGGGTTTTTAAGTTGATAATCTAATAAAAATTCTAATCTCTACATCCTTTAAAAAGTTTTAAAATATTATTCGTGCTTGGTAAAAATGACTTTCATATATTACATACAGGGTTGGGCAATATCGCAAATACTTGTATCTTTTTATAAATTTAGAAAAATATTTTGTATCTGTATCATAAATATTTTGTCATCTTTAACTATATAATATAAAATAGATACAGATTTAATTTTCATTATTTTTTGATATATTTAAATGTTCATTTAATTTAAAAAGTTAAATATTTATTTAATGAGTTAAACTGAAACAATTTTTTTTTTAATTTCCCACCAATAATTATTAACATTCCAGATTTAAGAAATTTTTTAAATGTATAGCACTATTCTTAAGCCCAAGTTTAACGGCTATTTTTTGCAAACCTTGTCAATAGGAGATAAGGCATAGATTGTCTGATAAATTATTTGAAAAAATAATTATTCCTATTTTTTTAACACAATGTTCAATATAAAGTTTCATATTATGTCAATTTTTTAAAATATCTATATATTTTTTTTCTATTTTTTATATATTTAATGAATATTTATATCTGTATCCAGATATTTAAAAAAAATAATTTGTCCATTGTTTGATTATGAACCTGAAAATTATTTTGAATGATAAAAAAGGTATTTGATGGCATCTTACGTTTCACGAATGTTGTGGGCAAAGAGAAAGGGGAGTATGAATGTTCATCTTCCAATTCGGCTGGAGTCACTTCGCGCACCGTATCTTTGAACATTGAAGGTTTATTTTCAAATCATAATCTTATTCTGCCTGATATATGGTTTTCCCATTAAAATTAATTTTCTTAGAACTCACATATTTAGTTTCTTTTTATCTATCAAAATAATTTTTAAAGGCGTGCCAACCTTGACTATCACGCCAAGCAGCCCTGTCCGCGCTATTGAAGGTGGTTCTCTTAATTTGGAGTGCACGGCAGAGGGCGAACCTCTTCCTAAGGTTTACTGGTCACTTCCAAAACGGATCGTCGGTACAGAAGGATCTCCCACACTACCTTCTGATGAGGACGATGAGGAATTGAGGGCAGAGAACCGTGAGGTGCGTCGTGGGGACATACCTTCTGCTTCTGCTATTTTTGAGATAACCGATTTACGACCAAGCGACTCGGGCCGCTACGTTTGTACCGCCAAGAACGCCCTGGGCGTCGTTCAAGAAACCCTCGATTTGATAGGTTTTCAAAAAAGCATTAAATTTATATTTTTTTAGTAATATCTTTTATAATATCATAATAAATGCCATTTTTTAGTATATTATTATAGATTTATTTTATTCATGTAATACCTAATTTTTAGGGGCTGTAAAAATAAATATTTTTCAAAAAAGGCAACCTGATAGTAATCGCCTTAAAATGCCATAAATTAATGTTGCTTATCAGAATTTCTATTGTTAGGGGTCTTTTATTTACAGAAGAATGGGGTGGGGGGGGGGTGAAAAATATTTACTATTATTTTAAATATTATTTTGAGAAACTTAAGCCCTCCCCTGTAATTCTAGAATATATTTGTAACCTTTATTATTGGGGGGCCTCTATCTGGTTTTCATAGATTAGTAATCATGATAATTACTTTTATTATCTATTTTTGCTTACTTTACGATGCACATAGTTAATTCTTTGGATGGCAATCATGATATTTTGAACGTTGTGCGAATCCTTCCCAAGTTCTTAAATTACAAAAGCGGTGATAGCACTCAATTGAATTGCATGCTCTCAGGTTTTGTATATAATTCATCTTTACTAGTTAATTTACTATGCAATTTACTTTCTAATATATAAAAATAATCTAAAATGTTTTATATCTATTTTTTAGTATTATTTGCAAAGATCTAATGATAAATAAGACGCAAATAAAGTGTAGAAAAAAAAATACTTATAATTTAATTTTTTTCAATAACTTTTAGATCCTATATTAAAAAATTAATTTTAATAATTGAAAAGGTCAAACTCAATACAAGGTTGAATGGAAGAGGCCCAAAGGATACTTTTTACCCAGAAATTATTATACAGTCGATGATGGGCGTGGTTTAGTCATTCCAAAACTTTCCACAAGGGATGCCGGTGATTACATTTGCGAGGCATCTTTAGACAATGTTTACTTCTCTTCCACCGCTACCATTAATGTTCAAAGTATGTTTTATATGTCTCTTTTTTTGTAAACAAATTGGTTTTAAATTTTGTTGAAGATAAGAATTTAATTTATGTTAAAGCTTACCATAGTTTACTTATATCAACTCTAAATCATATATAAAGTTATAAACGACTAAGTTTTTATAATCAATAAGATTACGCAAGATTCTATTAAAAAATATATTATTCGTTTTTAGGGCCTGTCTGTTTCTAAGATAGAATTTTAATGATCCTTTTTTAAATATTTATTATTTAATTATAACATGCACTTTTAACCTTAACCTCCCCCACCCCCACCAATTTTTATAGGAAGGATCGAATTAACGGTATCACCCGCTACGCAAACTATCGAAGAAGGTCATTCATTTACCATAGCCTGCTCGGCGCGTTTCTTAGATGATATAGACGATAGCAGTAGCAACACGCACGATAACTTCGTAAAATTGACGTGGTCCAAGGTTCGAGACATTTCTTTTAATAATAAAAAAAGATAGAATGTAATTACACAGAATAAAAACTATATAGATCATAATCTTTCTTTGATAACTAACCCCGAAATGATCCTTAAAAGTTTGAAATGATTATCTCAGAAATCGGGTTAACTTCTTTAATAAAGGAGAAAATACGCCATGGATCACGTGGCTCGTCAAACTTTAGTTCAAGTGTAGGACTCTTTTTCCTTAAGAATAAGAAATATTTTTCGTGGGTAGGGCACTGGGATTGTAGTTTATAAGTGTTAAATGATATTAACCCCAATAATTATCACATAAAAAGGTTTCTATGGGTGAGGCCTCCTCGTCCCCGGACTGGTCCCAATTTCTGCGAAGCGGGGTGTCCGATTACAGTGGTCTGCTAGAAGTTACCGAGGCATCCATTGCCGATGGCGGGCGTTATGTGTGCACCGGTCACGACTCGTATGGAAACGCTTTCGATGGTAACGCCATCAGTGCCGACGTTCGCGTCGAGCCCGTAGGTAAAAAATATCAGTCTTAACACTTAAAACATTCATATAGCGATTTACATATACTATAAGAAGTTGATAATTTACTAATAATGGAAATTTATATTATAAAATTCATAATAATTTCTTAGCGCCAATGTTTTTGTTATTAAAAGTCATTCTTTTCTTTGTGGCGATGCCCTTAATCATCATAAATAAATATTACATTTTAAGATAGATAAATATTCAACTAGTTGATATAAAATAAGCCTAATTAAATATTAAAATGGACGGTATAGGTTTCTCCGCAAGATACACTTTTAATTAGGGATTTTGACAATTATGTTTAAAGCAGGGATCCAAACCGAAACGAATATCGGTTCGGTTCAGGTTAGAATAAAAATAACGGTTCAAGGTTCAGGTTCGGTTCGTAAAAAATAAAATTTCGGTTCGGTTCGAACCTCTAAAAACCGGTTAAAATTTTTATATTTAAGCCTACATTCAAATTATGTATAGGGAAGAATATTTTTTTTATTTCATTTAAAATAAAAAACACATTCATAAAACCTTCATTTTTATTAATTACACATTATAAAATAATATTTAATTTGTAAATATAACAAATAAATATCAATGATTAATTTTAATATGAACAATATTTAACTTTATTTACTTAAAAAATTTTTATTAAGCGGCACAATTAATATATTTTCACGATTGTCTCACTCAAATTATATCTATAAGGAGATAGTATAAATTTAATTGTTGAAAACATCTTTCCACACTAACTTAGGTAGCCGGAACTGCCAGTGATATCAGACATTTTACATAATTTTGGGTATCAATTACTCTGATTTCTCCAATAGTAAAATTCTAGGTCCTTTAGAAAAATTAACTATAATCTCCTATTTTTGTAACAGATTTTGTTTGCATCATCTTCCTTTTTTAAGAAGACTTTCTACTAAATCCTCTTCAGATGAAGATATATTAACCGGAGTTGATTCACCTTCACTAGAATCCTCTACTTTATAACAAAGTTTAATTCCATGTTTATTTTAATAATATGCTCTCTAGACTTGGTTTTTTCTTCTTAGTCGGAAGCACCTGATATCTATATAATAAAAATTAAAAATAATAGATAGAAAATTATATAAAGTAAAATAAAATTATTAATTAAATTTATATAAGATATAATATAATCTTAAATTTAGATATAGGCATGACAAAAAGGCATTGTTGTTTAAAAGTTGTTTCTAAAATTCATATCATCTATTATTGAACCAGCAAAGGGTGAAGTAAAAATAGAAATTTCTAATTTAGCTTTTAGCCATATGCCATAAAGACCCTTAAAGTTAGCTGCTCAAGTTGTAATCTTGGTAACTAATTTAATTGGTTTTAGGATATTTATCAACCTAATGATTGCTTCCCATTCCAATGCTGTAAAATAAAGTTCACTATGATACTTGAGACTCAGTACAAGCATTGATTATTATTTTTTTTATTTAAATTTACTGATATTGTTTGTTCTTTTAATACTTCTTCTATCCTCTGTTGACTTGATGAGATCTGACTTTTTCTATTTTATTAGGCTTTTGTTGTGATATTTTGTTAATTTTATCGAATTCTAGAGGGTGGTTTCTTTTTACCTGACGCTCAAGATTTGCTCCATGGTGGCCTTTCATATTTATTTGACAATCAGTAATATTACATTTTGATGTGACATTTATAACACTATATGTAAATAATTTATATATTGGATTTAATTTTTCTCTAGGCATTATAATTTATAAGCTTATGGCAATATACTAGTTTGTAAAAATTATGACTGAATATAATAAAATTTTTTGTAATATACTAGTAATAACTTACACATGATTTTATAAGCATAAAATCATGAGGCTCGAACCGGTTCAGTGGCATTTTAGCGGTTTGGTTCAGGTTGGTCAAGAAATTTTTTTAGCGGTTTAGGTTCGATAAAAAATACCGGTTATTAAGATTTAATGGTTTAGGTTCTGTTTGGATCCCTTGTTTAAAGTGAAAATTGGGTTAAGCTATTATAAAGGGTTCGATTAGTTTAAAAAAAAAAATATATATAAATGAGTGAACTTCTAATCACTATGAAATAATAGTTTTAGTTGGTGAAGCATAAATATAAAATACTTCCAACTTTAACTGATATTAGGTAATATGATAAGAATGAATTTAATTTTTTCAACTAAGAAACAAATGAAACTTTTAATCTATGTAAATAAATCTCCGGCCGTATTTTAATTTTTTTAAATATATTTAGGTGGGCCAGGTCTAAAAATTTTTTTTTTAAATACCTGGGTCTAAACAAATTTTAAAACCTGATATTTATAGCTACTATTATTTATAAAATAAATATAATATTCAAAAAAATCCTGGCCGGGCCTGAAAATAAAACTCGGACGGGGCCGTAAAATTTCTAAAAAAAATCCTGGCCGAGCTTAAATTTTTTTAAAATCCGGGCCAGGTCATGTAAATGATACCTCTGCTCTGATATATATAGGGATATAGTCGGGAAGAGGCACGTGTGCCCCCGCCGATTTATGAAAGATTTAACGTGTCCCGACCAGTAATTCTCGAAGAAATTGTGGACATGGCGTGCCTCCAGAAAATTTTTAACAATGTTATTTTAGTATATTATTAATATTTTTTATTTAACATGAAATAAACATAAAATATTATAGAAACAAAATTGTATTATAAACTCTTCTCATTTTTATTGGTTCTTAAATAAGGATACCCAATAGAAATGGAGGAATGCCATTGTATCCGTTGAGTAGCCATTTACTAGCTTAACCCAGTTTCCCCCGTAAAAAATTTGTAAATTGGATGTCCGCTAATAAAGGTTATGTAACCAAACAAAAAAAAATGCTGCCACAGATTAAATTAAAAATGGCTAATCACATTGATAAACAAACCAATATAATTTTAATACTACCTATTATCTTGTAAAATCAAATCTCCCATTTGTAGATTTTGAATCGTTAATAGATTTACAATAGGACAATTGTACATATTTTGCATTTTAAATATTCTGGTTTGTTAATAATTTAAAGCTTTCCCAAATCTGTGTAGATGAAAATTGTACACAAAATCGCTACCCTGGAAGATGTATCTGCAACATTGTCAAATAAACCAGCCTTGGTTATTTACGTAAAATTGTATTAGGGGGTCCTCTTTTAATAAACCTATTTTTATATTCTAGACCTATGGATTCAAGAGATGCAGAGAGGATTGTTCATATCCTACTGGAGCTTCTTAAATCCGCTGGGTCTAAATTTTGCAAAAATATTGGATTTCTTGTTAACGATGGCGCCAGTGGCGTGACGGAAGAAATCTGGTGTAGCAACGCACCTTTGTACACTATATCCAATCATACTCTGAGTTAACTGAATATTCTTAGCTCATCTGAATTTTCTTAAAAAAATTTGTTGCAAAAAATAAGATTTCTCACAAATTTAGAATTAGCGGTGCCCAATGCAATAAAATGTTTTACAGGTATCAATCACTTTAAAGCCTTTATTGATATTGACACAATATATAATTTATATGGCCAGCCTGACAAAAATTAAAAGGCGTTAGATCAAATAACGTCTGTATTGGGCTTTCAGTTATTTTAGATTGGAAGGGTATGTCTAGCGGTCTTCGTACCGTTAAGACAATTTTAAAACCATGAGGCCTTATATAAATTCAGAAAAACAGTGCAAAATTTAACTGGCCATCCCCCCTATTTTAAAATGGTGATATTTTATAAGATATTTATAATGTTCTGTTTGAATTATTCAATTTGTCTAAGGCTTAAGACAACAATCAATATACCTAAAACTGGAAAATCAATAAAGCTAAACCAATAGTGTTCTAAAATCGTTGAAGGAAATGCCTGGTAGGTTCTAAATCTCTTTTATAATTTTAAAGGAGAACATAAATTTAGATTAGTAATATTGAAGGAAAACAGAAGGCACTCTGGTATCAGCAAAAATTATTTCATTACTGCCTCAATAAACAATATGCAATGGGTTGTTAAATGCTAATTTTATCAATTAGAAAATCTGTATTAAATTATATAGTTTTATCTTTTTAGCTATCTTATCTGATATTGAATATTTATAGAAAGATAACTTTACTTTGTTTCAAACTGAAGCTCGTTGTGGGTCTCGCAATTTATTGGATGAGGGAATTTATTGATAATAATAATATAAGTAGATAATGCATCCGTATGATAGAGTTTCTGAATTAGATTAAAAAATTTCGTGTATTACTGCTTAATGTGAATGCGACTTTCACCTTATGAATGTCATATGATGGATTTGCGTGCAAGTCTTATGACGATTAAACACATTTCCAATTTAATGATGATAACGCTAATGGGTCTCCTCTTATTCAGTGGAAATCTTCTCTATATTTTAAAAATGGCTGACAACTCACAGGTCCGCAAACGATAACCAATCAAGGAAACGGACGGTTAATATTATAAAGATATTGAAAAGGATTTGCTATAGCGAATATTGTAGTTTTTTTTACCTCTCATTTTGATCTATTTAGATTTATTTGGTTTTAAAATATTCGGCCCAACCCGATCCGGGTATTTTTTTTAAAAAATTTTTAGGCCCGGCCCTACTCGGGTATATGTAATAAATGGGCAGGTCTCTGATAATTATTTGTTACATTTTAAAAAATTACCTCATTTTTTATGCAATATATATATTTTACAATATATTTCAATTTTTATGTAACTTTCTAAATAGCTATTTTATATAATATAGAATGTATTTTATATCATGATTGGATATTTAAAAATATAAATAAATTTTGCCTTAAATTCTTGGAAAGATTATTCACCTCTATTTTTTGTCATTTTAGCATGCTCTCTACTATATTTTCGAGGACTACAGAACTGTATCATAATGTAATGCATATATACTGGATTTTATATAGATCTTACAATATGGAATTTCAATATAAAAATAAATGTGACACGAAATTTCAAAGTAAAAACACCTCTACTATATTTTCGCCCTAAATTTTAGGACGACAGAACTGTATAATAATGTAATGCTTATATACTGGATTTTAATAGAGATCTTACAATATGGAATTTCTTATATAAAAAAATGTGACACGAAATTTCAAAGTAAAAACACCATGTGAATAATAAACGTATTTAATATATGTAAAAATGGTCATCAATTATCAAAAAATATATAAAACAAAATGCTTATAAATTAGTTCGGGAAAATTATATAGGTTCAGTTAGTTCTTTTTGACGAAATCGGTTATATAAGTTTTATTACGATTCAGGAAAGTATAATAATTTGGGTTAACGGTTCGGTTCCGGATCAATATATTTGAGTTTAATTTGTTTTAAAAGCTAGTGAAGGAATTAGAAATGAAAAATTGGTCCGATCATGATTAATAATGATCCTACATCAAATTTTAAGGGGTTAAGATAAATTAAGTCTTTCTTTACTATATGTAGGAAATTTTAAATGCCATTTGTTAAAAGATAAATAATAATATCTTTAAACAGTTATTCGCATTCCTAATGCTAACTATTCCACTTAATGTTTTTCAGAATATAATTTATTTTTTTTATACATATACTTCAGAAACTCGTTCCTTCTCTTCTGGTGATTCTATAAATGCTATAAGAACGGGTATAGAGACTAGAGATAGGTTATTGATAGAAAACAATGCTGTGTCCTCTACTAGTAGTTCGAGCAATTCTGCCGGGGAAAGAGTTGCCTCTCGTGAGCGACTTGAATCTATGAGATTACTTCGTGAACATCGTCAACCTATGAGGTCATTTTGACATCATATTTATAAATATATTATTTTTTAAAAATCGTAAAATTTAATTTAAACTAAATAAAGGGGTTGATGTCAGAAAGGCCATCCAATTGTAAGAACCTTGCTACAAAATTTTCGATATGATTACAACATAGTTAGAAGTCTAGCTCGCTTTTTTGCTTTTTAATACTGCGGGAAAAGGCTGTATATTAATATAAACTGATGGCCTATTTATATGGCGAAGTCTTCTTGCATTGGATAAATTAAATATAATTAGAAATGATATCAATATTATTATACCAATTTTGAAAAAAAGAAGAAATTGATCAAAATCTCGAAACCTCTCTTATCTCTAAAGGACTAAAAAGATAGCTATGATAATCTCTAAGGGCTAAAATTATTTGAAGTGAGTAACAAACTTTATAAGAAAAATAATTGCAACCATTGTTTGACCCCGTTAAGGCTTCTTTGAAGGAAAGAAAAACAATAAACATTTTTTTAATAAATTTGACAATATAATTAATCTTTCGAGTTCATTGATATTTTACAATTAACATGACTATAGTGCGATCTTATCAACTCCTCGAAGAATAGAGTTAATGCAAGAATCCCAGGTTAAGAATAATCGTATATATTTGCCACACAAAATCGATCAAATCTCCATGAGGGAGATGAACTGGCAGGAAAGCAGTTCTTCTGGTATATATAGAAGTAATTTTATAAAGTCATTAATTAATCTCTATTTAAAATCATTTCCAATTAATGTCATTTATTAAAATCATAAACTAGTTTATTTATTTTTTGGATCGCTTCTGAAATTTGATAAGTGTAGTATATATATATATAACTTGGACTTCATGTACTTTATTGTATGATCATCTATATCCGATAACAACATTATAAGCATCCTCATCCCATTCCATAATCCCCAGTAATCATTCTCGAACTTTCCTCCATCTCCAAAACCATATGATGTTATGATGTGGATTCATTTTCTTGTCTGTCAATCCCCGTATTCGGCTAATTACTACATATTTCTCCCACCTCCTTTATCCAAACCAAAATATCCTCGTGCACTCTCAAACCTTAGATGGTCCCAATTGCGATAAACTTTGGATAATCCTCGAGGATACCGTTATCGCTTGGATGGCATCGCGGTCACGTAATGAGTTCTGCACCCACCATTGTCACTAATCGTGCCTATGTAGACAGTTCACAAGGCGTTAAACGTTGAACGGTCCTTGTCCGTTATCACTTGGGCACTGTAACCAACCCCACTAATTTCCTCCGGATCCCACTACTCCTCCTTATTATAATTACTGAGTGGTCATCATAACTTGTCCCTGTCGATGGGCCTCATCGATGTACTATCCTCTTTTAACTTGAATCTTCTGGGCAACTACCCCCGAGTATCTCCGATGGACAACATCTTTTCTAATTATCATCCGAATAGAGTGTGGAGACTATGGTTGCTAATTCATACCAAATCTCCTCATATTCAACCTCTATGGTGACTATGGCTGATACCCCAGATACCCATCGTAATTTTTATAATTAAGTCTAATTAGCCAGGTTTTTTTACCAGTAACCATTTTCAAATGTCCAAATTTGCTAGATTATTTTGTCAGTAACCTTTTTCCCAATGTTCAAATTAGCCAGATTATCTTATCACTAACCTTTTTCCCAATGTCTAAATTGCCATAGATCCATAAGCCAAATTACCATGTAAATATCACTATATCATTGGTCATGTTTTCACAATATTATTTCCCTTAATATTCCATTTTTACTGAGTCATCAATTTTCCAAAATTAATTTCATATCATCACTATTTCAACTAAATCCCCAAATTATCCATAATCTCAAAATCATATTTGAATCCTTTTACCACTTTGTTCATGTCAGATGGTTCTTCTTAATTGATATATCTTTTCCATAATCAATAAAATCCCAAATCATACCCCAAAATCTAATAATTATTTCATTTTCCTTTAGTCAATTCATTCATCCCCCAATTTTTCTTTGTCAGCAATTATAATAATTCATTCAATATCAAAGCCATTATATAATCATAATTTATTCATTACAATATTCTATAATTTATGTGATTTGGAGTCACTTTATCACGCGACACTTTATCGTGCGACACTTTATCACGACGACACTTTATCACGACGACACTTTATCACGACGACACTTTATCACGACGACACTTTATCATGACGACACTTTATCACGACGACACTTTATCACTCAGTCATTTGATAACGCGACACTTTATCACGCGACATTTTATCATGATATACTTAAAACTTAATTTAATATAATTGAAAAGTTAAATTTTGATAATATCTCATTTTTTGACTTTTATCATGATATACTTAAAACTTAATTATATTTGAAAAAAAAATTTTGATAATATCTCATTTTTTGACTTTTCCGTCTAAATTTCAATATTTAAAAAATTTTAATTAATTTTTTTTTGTTAACGCCACACTTTATCATGATATACTTAAAACTTAATTTAATATATTAGAAAAAATTAAATTTTGATAATATCTCATTTTTTGACTTTTCCGTCTAAATTTCAATATTTAAAAAATTTAAATTAATTTTTTTTATTGAGAATAACTCATATTTTAATTTACATAAATATATATTTTTTTAACTTAATTATCATCTTATATAGGGAAACAGGAGACAAGCAATAATTTTCTATTTATACTTTTTATTAATAAGTAACTATAAATCAATATATCACGAGTAAAAAATATAAATTATTTATAATATATTTAATTGCACGAAATATGGGCAATAGCTTTTAAAAATATTAAAGAATCCGACAATCCGTAATTTGAAACACAAATCTGAATTCGTCTTTTTATATCTTCATATTTCTTTGATAAGTACGGTGTTGTTCCCATCACGACTTGAAGATATAGAGCTTTATGTTTCTGCATATCTTTTTGTATCCCATCTAAAAATTTCCATAGTGTTGGATGAGAACATTGGTATAGGGATTGAATTCCATAGTGCCACCCTTCAACACAATTTGTTGTTCGGGCGACACCTTCTAACGTGGAATTGTGTTTATTCCATAGTCTTACATTATATAAAGGCGCTGCAAAGTTATTTCATTGCCCTATAAATATATAAATTTATAATTAAAAAAAATATTTTTTTACTGGGATTTCTACGTCCTCGGATATAGGTCTTCTCAAAGTAGGAAATTAGCTCATATGAGCCATTCAATTCACCAAATATTTCTGCCAAAGTATCAAATGAGTTTCCAACATCATCCTCTGGGACATATGCAAGAGCCGATAAACACCTACTATACAATCGAAAGTCGTCATTCGACTCATACATCTCTTTTAATCCCAAATCGTTTATTTTTCTATTAACGCTCTGTTTTAGATGAAAATAACATCCAAGGATATCTGCGAGTGGATACCCAGCTCTAAACGCATTATCGGTGCCTGTTCGAAATCCACCAATATTTTCCTCGGATGCGCCCCTGGTAGTAATTGTTTCAGCTCCTATAATAAAATTTAAATTACATCTCTTAAAATATATAATATGATTACTTTTATCTTATTTGGTAATAAGCAATATATACCAACAGGATTCGCGCCCGGTGCAATTTGTGGATGGTATAAAGTTGGAAGAATATTTCAGGTACAATTTTAAAGGTACCATCACATATCCATATATCCGATCTTGATAATCCTTCGAGTAGTTTGTCCGTGCTCAACATTATAAATCTTAAATTATCATCTGGCCCAGAATCGTATTTGAGCATATCCCTGTAACATTCTGGATATAAGAAAGTGAGATCCTTAGGGATAGGAGGCAATATAATGGTAGAGATCAATTTTTTATGCCTTTGTAAGGATCGATAAAGGGCAGACTTATTTGGCATAATCATCAAGGTATTATTATCATAATTTAACAATGTTGTTGCATGGACCAAAGAAGGACTAGAATATTCACTTAATTTGGATTTCATTTCTGATATTGCTTTTCGGGCATAAGATTTTGAAATGTTACCCTCATGAGTATGATCAAGGGGACCTTTTAAGATATCATTCAATTTTTTTGTAATAAAAGAATGGCATTTTAGAGATTTATATTTGGCGCATCTCCAGCATATTGATTCATTTTTATTTGTCCTAAATTTAGTATATTCGTAATTTTGATATAAAAGGGTAGTTTTATTTTTCGATGTAAATCCTAATTCAAACATTATAATTAATAAAAAAAATATTCTTTAATATATAATAATATAGAAAATTGAGGTATATATAGAAAAAAAAATATTATTATATTTATGGGTAAATACAAAACCTTAATTTGTAAAAATTATAAATCTTTGTGAAAAAACGATTAGCTTAAAAAATATCAATAGATAAACACATTAATTTAAGTGTGGTGTTTTATTGATTTATAGTTACTTATTAATAAAAAGTATAAATAGAAAATTATTGCTTATGTCTCCTGTTTCCCTATATAAGATGATAATTAAGTTAAAAAAAATTATATTTATGTAAATTAAAATATGAGTTTTTTTCAATAAATAAAATACAAAAAAAATTAATTTAAATTTTTTAAATATTGAAATTTAGACGGAAAAGTCAAAAAATGAGATATTATTAAAATTTTATTTTTTCAAATATATTAAATTAAGTTTTAAGTATATCATGATAAAGTGTCGCGTTAACATAAAAAATTAATTTAAATTTTTTAAATATTGGAATTTAGACGGAAAAGTCAAAAAATGAGATATTATCAAAATTTAACTTTTCAAATATATAAAATTAAGTTTTAAGTATATCATGATGAAAGTCAAAAAATGAGATATTATCAAAATTTAACTTTTCAAATACATAAAATTAAGTTTTAAGTATATCATGATGAAAGTCAAAAAATGAGATATTATCAAAATTTAACTTTTCAATTATAATAAATTAAGTTTTAAGTATATCATGATAAAATGTCGCGTGATAAAGTGTCGCGTTATCAAATGACTGAGTGATAAAGTGTCGTCGTGATAAAGTGTCGTCATGATAAAGTGTCGTCATGATAAAGTGTCGTCGTGATAAAGTGTCGTCGTGATAAAGTGTCGCATGATAAAGTGTCGTGTGATAAAATGTCGCTAGGCGAATTTATGTATTGTCTAAATTCTGATTTACAATTATATCTTCATCCCAAATTTAATTTCATGAAATATCCAATACATTCATATTGCTCAGCATAATATCACATATAAAAAAGAGTTCATACTTCAATACGATACACTAATATATTCCATTTATCAGGTTAATCCCATAACGTCGCCAATCTGTAGTATAAACTAAATATAACTTGATATATAACTTGAACTTCATGTAATCTTTATTGCAATCAAATAAACGTTTATACAAATAATATTAATCATCTATATCCGATAACAATAATATATAATACATTTATAAACATCCTCATCCCATTCCATAATCCCCATCATTTTCGAACTTTTCCCCATTTACAGAACCATATAATTGGATTCATTATTATTGTTTGTCAATCCCCATGTTCGGTAGCTAATGACTATAAAAGTGTAGTTAGTTGTTGTTCAATTGTTTTGTTAAATTTAATTTCTTTAAATGAAATTTATTGATTGGTTTTTATATGATAGGAAAGTTTATAATATAATTTGAACTAGTTATCTTTTTAATTGCTCGTAATTTTTCTACTTTTTATTGAGAAACTTTTAAGAAATATCGTTTTCCCACATACCTACCTAAATTTTTAATTGTGAGCTCGTTTTTCTAATTTTAATATTTCAGAGTTCATTTTTTCAGACATTTTTACAAGCGTCACTTATTTCCTTTTTTTCAGGCAACTCGGATGATGCGCGCCATTCTCACAACGCCGTTTATGAGGACCGACTAAATCCCAGGCCGTCTTCCTCCTATACGTATCAACTGGCCAATGTGCCCTCGTCCGTCGTTTCCAGTTTCAGTAACGCATCCCATATTTCCTTACCAAGGTTCCAAGAGGGCGGATCCAGTGCCCGGCCACGTGATCCTCTTTCCACACGCAGTGGTAATCACAGACTTATAGTGATGATCCCACAACGACCCGGCGATCGATTTCATTCTATGCGGAAAGGTGATCAACCACGTATTAAACGACACGTTAGGGACCACCGATGCAGCGAGCTAAAAACTAAAAAAGATTCAGATTAAATCTTTCTTAATAAATGTTTGAAAAAAATTGTAAATCGTTGAAACAATATTTTTTTTTGAAAATAAAACAATTCATTTTATGGCAGCTGACACTTTTGTTTATATATAATTTTTACGTGCTTTTAGACAATTTTTTTTAACCAATATTTTACAAAATTAATTTACAATCAGACTTATAAGGGTTCAGATATAAATAAATTTTAGCGCAGACCAATATGTTTTTTAGAAAGTTTTGTATATTTAAATCTTATATCAATTTTATTTCTTCCTATTCAGATTGTTAGTCACATTTTAGTTTGAATAATTTTTTTGTTATTAAAACAAAGTGATAATAAATTTATCATGAATAAAGTTTAAAATATATATTTGCCAAAATGAAAATGACAAAAAAACAGCTGTTGAGTTACATTTATTTCTAAACATTTTGTGGAACAATTAAATATTATTTCTAAAAAGATATTTTTAATTAATTTTATTGATATGCAATAACAATTTTTTTTTCTTTATTTTCTTATTCTTTCTCGAGATTTATTTCTCGTATACTACTTACAAAACATTACTTTACAAAATGGTGATTCATATTACTATTTTTTATTAATAATAATGCACCGATTATTTTTATTATTATCTTTTTACCTTAAAATGTTTTGTACCACATTTTCTGATTCGACTGTTAACTAATTAACTAAAAAAATTGTTTATATGATTTTTTTTTCCATTGATAAAATTGAAATAATATCAAAATTTACACCCCATCATTACCTGTTAATTTTTTTTAAATAATAATATTTGTATATTTTTTTTTAAATACATATTTGTTAATAAAAATATTTTCATTTTATTGAAAATAAAAATTGTTAAGTTTTTTATAAATTCATTTATTATAATGAATGGCTTTAAATTAGTCTGTTTTCTTCTTCTCTTTTTTAAAGTGCTATTATGATTATTGGACTTTGGAACAAACTTTTATATTGTGTGATAATTTTAATTAATCATTGATTTCTAAATATTCATTTGAAAACTACTAAAAAATAAGAAAAGTTTATATGCAGTATTTTCACAGAAAGTTTGATCAAAAAATTAATTTTATAATCAATTCCACTAGGAATCGAAATTCAACACTTGACATATTGCATGTCAATCATTGTAATTATTTCTATAAATATATTTTTAAAAAATTTTTTTAGAATATCCTGATTCCAGAAAGAAATAGGAAAATATTATTCCACATCAGATATTTTTTTTTCAAAAATATTACGTCAAATGAAATATATATATAAATATAATTTTATTACATTTTTAAAAATATACCTAAAATTACTATTTATTAATTTTTATCAGATTTCATAATTTTATTTCTGCATGTATCTCCAAAGACTTCATAATTGAAATTTCTCTTTGTTTATTTTGCATATCTAAAAAAATATGTGCTGGAAACGATATCAAATTTTTTAACTAATGGGATTAATAACCTTTGGATGCAATTTTGCAACAAATTTTTTTTAAATATCTTACAAAATATAATTATAAATGTTTTTATAATTTATCGTTAAAATTGGTAATTCTTTTATACCATTTATATATCTTTTAATTTAATAAAATAATAATAAAAAAGTTCAACTAATTTTTAAATGCTTAATTAAAATAGAACAGCAGGATTAAATTATTGTGTATATGTTTTAGTGTCTGTGTTTGGTGTTGTCCTGATACGGCAGTATTGGTATCGGCAAAAAAATGTCTATATAAAAAATCCATTATTTGTTTGTTAAATCTCTTCTAAGTGCATAATCCACTTTGAATTTTTGATAATACTAAAGGATTTGGAGAAATGTTAGATAGTTGAGCCTTTCGCCTTAAACAATTACTCCAACTTAAAGATCGCGACGTTTTTTTAGGATACAGGCTTGCAGTGGCGTAGCCAAGATTGATCCATAAAGGGGGTTTTAAAAAATTTTTGGGGGCTTCGCTCCCAAACCCCATTTTAAATTCGCCAATATTTTGTGTTATTAGTGTCTAATCACTATAGTAACCAGCATAAATGAAAAAAATATTAGTAACAAAATTTTGGCCAAATTTATGAATAATACGCGACTGAAAGCATTATTTTGAAAATTTTATTAATGTTTAGTCAATTGTAAATTAATTCAATCCATTCGGTGTAGAAAGAAGAAAAAAATCGCCCCCCTAACCTCCCATTTTTTATGATCACTCAATATATCTTATTCTATGTTAAAAATAATTATTTTAATTAAATTTTTGTATATTACAAAATTTTGCAGAGAATTTCATTATAGATTTTATTTATTATTAAAAACTTTAGTATAAAATAACACCCTTTTATTTAACTATGTATTTATTTTAATGATAATATACAATAAAATAAATTTCAAAATGTAGAAATTTTATACAGATTATATTAAAAATTTATTGTAAATAACTTTATTTAAAAAAAAATAAAATTACAATTTTTGTAAGGTATTTTAAAAAAATCTAGTTTAACATTAAAATTAATACAAATGAGTATATTAACAATACATAAATAATTCTTATTAGAGATCTTCAAAAGTAGGAAAATCGGGTTCGGGCTAAGTCTGGCCTAAAATTTTTGAAAAAAATTCGGGCCGGATTGGGTCGGGCCTTGGAATTTTTTTTAAATATATCAATTTTATATTAAATATTTTATGTAAAATAAAAATATTTGATTTTATTTATAAAAACTAGACGCCATATAACATATATCTTTTATTTTGAGTTATTATAAAGGACCGGCAAAAGTTTGTAAAATAATTTCGAACCTGGCCGGGCTTGGAAAATTAGGTCCGATACAGATCACTAATTCTTATTGCAAATGCAATATTTTTTTAAAAAATAGTATAATATATAAATATTATGACTAAAATTCATTATAATTACGTTTTGAATATAAAAATTTTATGACTAAGAACATATTATAATCATATAGCAATTTTATGATTTGAATTTATAAAGTGAGGTCTACTTTACTCTGAGATTTGGCTAATTTTTCTAGAAGCAAATTTTTATCTTGAATAATCTCCTTATGAATATTTAATATTACGAATCCATTGGTGCTATTTCACAAATAGGTTTTTACCTTTTCAAAGTTGAAAAAGACATTTCATTAGTGCAGGTGCTATTAGGTAAGGAAGGTAGCTAAAATAAAAGGCAATGTTTTTATATAGGCAGGGAATCTAAAGTGCAATTAAACATGGAAAGGGCCTGCAAAGTATTTTTTGGTCTCAAAGAGTACTCTATTCTGTCAAAATTTTTATATCAAAATTCGACATCACAAAAAATAATGTGATTTTCTTAATATCCTCTCGCATTTTAAGTGTATTAAGACTCATCCGGCAAAAGAAAATAAAACTGTTTAAAATAAAATTGTGACTAATATATCTTTACTTTAATTGAAATAAAAATGTATCAATAAGGGTAATAAAAATATTTACTTTATAAAAATCCTCAATCGTAGATGCGTCAATTAAAACAATTGAACTATCTAGAAACTACTCTAGATTTAAAATTCAAACATACTAGCGATCACTTTTATATTCTCCTTATATTTACCAAATTAAATGATTTTCTTTTATTTAAAAATTATAAAAAATGAATTAAAATTTTAAAACTGTTGTAATATTTTAAATTATTATTTATAATTGTATTAAAATGATAAAATTAATTATTATAATATATATATATTATGAACCTGTTGTTAGCCATGTATTTTGTTGATTTTTGTGAAAAGGAATACAGTGGCAACAAAGGAAAAAGATTTTTAATTAATTTTTTTTTTAATTTTCTCTTTATATTTTTTTTTATTATTATAAAATTAAATTGAATCAAAAGTTTATATTAAATGAAAAAGTGATCTTTACAATTTCGTTAATGTAATAAATATCATTAGTCATTTACATAAAAATTATACATCTGTTAAAATAAATCACTTTATCAAATAAAATATACATTAAAAAAGTGTACATTACAACACGCCACCCATTACTAAACCCAAGTGTTAGGGGTGATTGATAGTATATGACCAATAATATACGAAATGTAAATACACATCTGACGTTTTTCATTTACTTCAAACTATATATTTAAACATTCCGCTTATTTTGGTGTCTATAAAAATTTCGCCAAAAATAAATTATCTTGATCGACTTTATAATAAGAATTAAGAAATGCGGCTTAATGTCCATAGGAGGACGCCGTTTGATTCGTCTCACTAATAAGAATAAAGAAATGCGGTTATTTTTTCCAAAGGAGGACGCCGTTTTAGTCGTCTCACGAATAAGAATAAAAATATTATATAATTTCTCCGGCTACAATTTCTCTGTAATACCGTAAATTTATATTTCCCAATTTGAATAAAGAAGAGAATATATTTTTTTAAATATTTCATCATAATTTTCTCCAATTCGAATACAGAATGTAATGTAAACAATTTATACTAAAAATTTTCATACACATCTCCCCATTATCGGTAAATCATTTAATATAATTTCGAATATGATTTCTCAAACATTATTTGAATATCCCGGAATAATTTCCTTATATTCTTGAATAATTTTATATAAGGATTTAAATTAAATTTTTTTTTAGCTTAGTAAACATAACGTATACTATATCTTTACTAAAAAATGGTTTTTATAAGAATTTCATTTCTTTGAAAGAATACCAATGAATAATGTCATAGATAATAGTAGGTTAGGTAAAGATTTCGAATAATTTGATGCATATATTTTATTCCGCTATTACTTTAATAATAATATTCACTTGAAAACCTCCTCCCAACAAAACAAATATCGAATCAGATTCTTTATGAAAGTCCCTTTCTTTAATATTTATTATTTTATTTTATCTTAATAATATTAATTCCCAATTTTGGAATATTTATCTTTTTTTTATTTTACCTTTATAATATATTAATTCCCAATTTTGGAATATTCATCTTTTATATTTTACCTTTATAATATATTAATTTCCAATTTTGTTGGAATATTCATCTTTTTTATTTTACCTTTATAATATATTAATTTCCAATTTTGGAATATTTATCTTTTTTCCTTTATAATATATTAATTTCCAATTTTGGAATATTCATCTTTTTTATTTTACCTTTATAATATATTAATTTCCAATTTTGGAATATTCATCTTTTTTATTTTACCTTTATAATATATTAATTCCCAATTTTGAATATTTGTGTTTTTATTTTACCTTTATAATATATTGATTTCCAATTTTGAAATAATTTGCCTATAGTGGCCTTCTCTCAAAGTCGAATACAAATGAGAATATACTGCACCTGAAAGAGTGATCATTTCGCCGCATTGATAATATAGTGGTAATAAAATTGCGAATTGTGACTCATATTTGTAATTTAAAAAGAATAAACCTTCATAAATTGAATAAAAGAATCTACATGATTTTATAATTAATGGAGATTCAGATATAATTATTGAAAGAGGCGATACTCTGAGATAAAATTTTGTTAACTTTCTCTTTATATTTTTTTATTATTATAAAATTAAATTGAATCAAAAGTTTATATAAAATGCAAAAGTGATCTTTACAATTTCGTTAATGTAATAAATATCATTAGTCATTTACATAAAAATTATACATCTGTTAAAATAAATCACTTTATCAAATAAAATATACATTAAAAAAGTGTACATTACAACACGCCACCCATTACTAAACCCAAGTGTTAGGGGTGATTGATAATATATGACCAATAATATACG